GATGCGCCGAATAAGAATCTGAAGTCCGTTTATTCATTGCTCAGTTGGTTTCCGAGATATTTGCGATCAAAAACTGCCTGGAAGATCGCTGATATGATTTGAAATGTATCTCTCATGTCATCGATATCCATCAGTCAATTGAGGTACTAGATCTTGCCATTTTGTTAAAAAAAGGTACCACAAGGACTGAAAACCAGGTCAAAAATTGCAACTTTTTTTTTGTCAACGCTAAAGAGCTGTGTTTCTACTCCGCACTAGGGCATTCCTAAAGTACCCTGTTTACCAAATTTGAAGGCCCTAGGACAAAGTTGATTTCTGGGTCAGAAATTGAAACAAGGTTAACCCCTTTGAACTTTTTCCAACCAACTCGAGGCGTCAGAATGGGCTGAAAACTTACATACAGGGTGTGTTCTTGATGCGCCGAATAAGAATCTGAAGTCCGTTTATTCATTGCTCACTTGGTTTTCGAGATATTTGCGATCAAAAACTGCCTGGAATATCGCTGAAGTTATTGAAAGAATTTCTCTTCGTTGGCTTATTAAGTGATCTTAGTGCCTCCAAGGATTCTGTATCTGATGTCATCGATATCCAGTCAATTGAGGTACTAGATCGAGCCATTTCATATTCAAGGTACCGCAAGGCAAGAAAAGGCAGGTAAAAATTGCAACTTTTTTTCTATCGACGCTAGAGAGCTGTGCTTCTACTCCGCACTAGGGCATCCCTTGAATACCCTGTGAATCAAATTTGGAGGCCCTACGACCAAGTTAATTTTTGGGTCTGAAAATGAAACAAGGTTAACCCCTTTGAACTTTTTTCATCCATCTCGAGGCGTCAGAATGGGCTGAAAACTTGCATACAGAGTGTTCTCGATGTACTGAATAATATTCTGAAGTCTGTTTCTCTTTATCTCTCTTGGTTCCTTAGATATTCGCAATGAAAAACTAAAAAAATTGTCTGAAATATCGCTAAAATGAGGCCAAGACTTTCTGTTCGTTGGCAAAATATGTGAATTAATTTGGCTCTGCCAAAAATTCTGTTATTTCTATGACATCGATCTCCCATCAGTCGATAGAGGTACTAGATCGAGCTATATTATATCAAAGGTACCGCAAGGAAGAAAAAGCAAGTAAAAAATTAATTTTTTATTAATATTGTGAGCTTGAAAACTCAGCTTCTACCCCGCACTAGGGCATCCCTTGAAGACCCTGTGAACCAAATTTGGAGGCCCTACGACCAAGTTAATTTTTGGGTCTGAACATGAAACAAGGTTAACCCCTTTGAACTTTTTCCACTCAATTCGGGGCGTCAGACTGGACTGACCACTTGCATACAGGGTGTTCTTGATGCACCGAATAAGAATCTGAAGTCCGTTTATTCATTTCTCACTTGGTTTTCGAGATATTTGCGATCAAAAACTGCCTGGAAGATCGCCGGAGTTATTGAACGGATTTCTTTCGTGGGCTAATTAAGTGATTTTAGTTCCTCAAAGAATTCTGTATTTGAAATGTCATCGATATCCAGTCAATTGAGGTACTAGATCGAGCCATTTTATATTCAAGGTACCACAAAGGCTGAAAAGCAGGTCAAAAATTGCAAGTTTTTTTCTATCAACGCTAGAGAGCTGTGCTTCTACTCCGCACTAGGGCATCCCTTGAGGACCCTGTATACCAAATTTGAAGGCCCTACGACAAAGTTGATTTTCGAGTCTGAAAATGAAACAAGGTTAACCCCTTTGAACTTTTTCCAACCAACTCGAGGCGTCAGAATGGGCTGAAAACTTACATACAGGGTGTTCTTGATGCGCCGAATAAAAATCTGAAGTCCGTTTATTCCTTGCTCAGTTGGTTTCCGAGATATTTACGATCAAAAACTGCCTTCAAGATCGCTGATATGATTTGAAATGTATCTCTCATGTCATCGATATCCAGTCAATTGAGGTACTAGATCTTGCCATTTTTTTAAAAAAGGTACCACAAGGACTGAAAACCAGGTCAAAAATTGCAACTTTTTTTCTATCAACGCTAGAGAGCTGTGTTTCTACTCCGCACTAGGGCATCCCTAAATTACCTTGTGTACCAAATTTGAAGGCCCTAGGACAAAGTTGATTTTTGGGTCTGAAATTGAAACAAGGTTAACCCCTTTGAACTTTTTCCAACCAACTCGAGGCGTCAGAATGGGCTGAAAACTTACATACAGGGTGTTCTTGATGCGCCGAATAAGAATCTGAAGTCCGTTTATTCATTGCTCAGTTGGTTTCCGAGATATTCGCGATCAAAAACTGCCTGGCAGATCGCTGATATGATTTGAAATGTATCTCTCATGTCATCGATATCCAGTCAATTGAGGTACTAGATCGAGCCATTTTATATTCAAGGTACCACAATGGCTGAAAAGCAGGTCAAAAATTGCAACTTTTTTTCTATTAACGCTAGAGAGCTGTGCTTCTACTCCGCACTAGGGCATCCCTTGAGGACCCTGTATACCAAATTTGAAGGCCCTACGACAAAGTTGATTTTCGAGTCTGAAAATTAAACAAGGTTAACCCCTTTGAACTTTTTCCAACCAACTCGAGGCGTCAGAATGGGCTGAAAACTTACATACAGGGTGTTCTTGATGCGCCGAATAAGAATCTGAAGTCCGTTTATTCATTGCTCAGTTGGTTTCCGAGATATTCGCGATCAAAAACTGCCTTTAAGATCGCTGATATGATTTGAAATGTATCTCTCATGTCATCGATATCCAGTCAATTGAGGTACTAGATCTTGCCATTTTCTTAAAAAAGGTACCACAAGGACTGGAAACCAGGTAAAAAATTGCAACTTTCCTTCTATCAACGCTCGAGAGCGGTGCTTCTACTCTGCACTAGGACATCCCTAAAGTATCCTGTGTATCAAATTTGGAAGACCTACGACAAAGTTGATTTTCGAGTCTGATGGAATTGAAACAAGGTTAACACCTTTGAACTTTTTCCACCCAATTTGAGGCGTCAGAATGGGCTGAAAACTTACTTACAGGGTGTTCTTTATGCGCCAAATAAGAATCTGAAGTCCGTTTATTCATTGCTCAGTTGGTTTCCGAGATATATATGTGATCAAAAACTGCTTTGAAGATGGTTGACGATATTGAAACAATTTCTTATTGTGGGCTAATTCAGTGATTTTAGTTCCGCCAAGAATTCTGTATTTCTCATGTCATCCATATCCAGTCAATATGAGGTACTAGATCGAGCCATTTTATATTCAAGGTACCGCAAGGCAAGAAAAGCAGGTAAAAATTGCAACTTTTTTTCTATCAACGCTAGAGAGCTGTGCTTCTACTCCGCACTAGGGCATCCCTAAAGTACCCTGTATACCAAATTTGAAGGCCCTAGGACAAAGTTGATTTTTGGGTCTGAAATCGAAACAAGGTTAACCCCTTTGAACTTTTTCCAACAAGCTCTCTACTGTGTTCCAACCAACTCGAGGCGTCAGAATGGGCTGAAAACTTGCATACAGGGTGTTCTTGATGCGCCGAATAAGAATCTGAAGTCCGTTTATTAATTTCTCACTTGGTTTTCGAGATATTTGCGATCAAAAACTGCCTGGAAGATCGCTGATATGATTCGAAATGTATCTCATCGATATCCAGTCAATTGAGGTACTAGATCGGGCCATTTTTTAATAAAAGGTACCTACCACAAGGATTGAAAACCAGGTCAAAAATTGCAACTTTTCTTCTATCAACGCTAGAGAGCTGTGTATCTACTCCGCACTAGGACATCCCTAAATTACCTTGTGTAACAAATTTGAAGGCCCTAGGACAAAGTTGATTTTCGAGTCTGAAATTGAAACAAGGTTAACCCCTTTGAACTTTTTCCAACCAACTCGAGGCGTCAGAATGGGCTAAAAACTTGCATACAGGGTGTTCTTGATGCGCCGAATAAGAATCTGAAGTTTGTTTATTCATTGCTCAGTTGGTTTCCGAGATATTTGCGATCAAAAACTGTCTGGAAGATCGTTGACATTATTGAAAGAATTTCTTTTCGTGGGCTAATTAAGTGATTTTAGTTCCTCCAAGAATGCTGTATCTGATGTCATCGATATCCAGTCAATTGAGGTACTAGATCGAGCCATTTTATATTCAAGGTACCACAAAGGCTGAAAAGCAGGTCAAAAATTGCAACTTTTTTTCTATTAACGCTAGAGAGCTGTGCTTCTACTCCGCACTAGGGCATCCCTTGAGGACCCTGTATACCGAATTTGAAGGCCCTACGACAAAGTTGATTTTCGAGTCTGAAAATGAAACAAGGTTAACCCCTTTGAACTTTTTTCATCCATCTCGAGGCGTCAGAATGGGCTGAAAACTTGCATACAGAGTGTTCTCGATGTACTAAATAATATTCTGAAGTTATTTCTCTTTATCTCTCTTGGTTCCTTAGATATTCGCAATGAAAAACTAAAAAAATTGTCTGAAATATCGCTAAAATGAGGCCAAGACTTTCTGATCGTTGGCAAAATATGTGAATTAATTTGGCTCTGCCAAAAATTCTGTTATTTCTATGACATCCATCTCCCATCAGTCGATAGAGGTACTAGATCGAGCTATATTATATCAAAGGTACCGCAAGGAAGAAAAAGCAAGTGATTTCAGTTCCTCAAAGAATTCTGTATTTAAAATGTCATCGATATCCAGTCATTCCAGTCAATTGAGGTACTAGATCGAGCCATTTTATATTCAAGGTACCGCAAGGAAAGAAAAGCCAGTAAACATTGCAACTTTTTTCCAGTTGAAGCTATAGAACTAGCTCTAAATATTGAACTTAGAGGCTCAGAATGAAAACTAATTTCAATAGTCAGATTCGGCTAAGAAGCAAAGATACAAATTATACAACAAATTACTACAAATACAATACAAATTAATGATTATTCAAATTTTTATTTCAAGAAGAAAGTACTATTAGCAAAGACAAGATTTTTTGTTAGGTCAGGCAGCAGAGCTGAGAAAATTCAATAAAATCACAATACCTTGCAATACTTTATTCAAAAAAACTAAAACAAGGCATTTATGTGTTTTGTATTAACAATTCTATAAACCACCTATTTATCCTCTGGTTTGGAGAACACCAAGGTGTAACCACACTTTCCGCAGTAGTGCCTGTCTTCCATGGCAGCCATGAAAACACCGGCGCCACATTGTTCGGCTGGGCATTCTCTCCTCAGCCTGTGAATTTTTCCATTCTCGTCAACCTGAAAAAAAAAATATAATGTGAAATCTCCTGAAGGACAACACTAAGTTCATTTCAACCCTTTGAAAGAAACATTACATTTTAGAAATTGGCACCAACCCTCATCATTAGTATGTTTTGAGCAGCTGTTTCTCTCATTTTCATCAAGAAAAGATTTCCATTGAATTCTGAATTTTATGAATTTTCCACAATGATGAAAAAATTCATTGGCAATATTCTGAAACATCTGGCCAAGTTATTAAAAAAAAAATTGTCACAATATTTTTTGGGTTTATACAGGGTGGCTCTTTGAAAACGAAACAGAGGCTCTGTAGATCGCCAAAACCGGATTATGAAAAATATCGTTCTAAATCATTTTCAGCTCTGCGGCATTGCCGCTTCTAACGAAAAGTAGCAACAACTTTGTTATTTCACACCCTGTATTTCATTGCATTTTAAGATTCTCCCCAGAGAGCTGATTTCATCAATGCTTAGTCTTGAATAAGGACAAAACAAGTTGTATACTATTCAAAAATGATGATACTATCATAACACCGAAATCTTTAACTATTAATAATCAAATATTGACCTGCTGTGATACAGTTGAATTTCTTGGCATCACAGTAGACTCTACTCTGAGTTGGAAATGTCATATGGACAATTTATGTAAGGGATTAGCTTCCACAACTTTTGCTATTCAGACACTAAAACAAAATGTAGACAAAGATGTATTGATTGCTGTGTACTATGTGAATTTTTATTCTTCCTTCAAGTTTGGGATTGCCATATGGAGTGGCAGTCGGGAATTAGATAGAATTTTTGTAAGCAAAAAAAATGGCTATCCCAGTAATGTTTGATATGAATGTTAGAGAATCATGTCACAGAATCTTCAAGGCCCATAATATTCTCAGGGTTCCTGCTGTGTATATATTGGAAACTATAAAATTTCTTATGAAACAGTCGCATCAGTTCAACTATTATGAAAATAGCCACACTTAAAATACTAGGCATAAAGGTGATTATGCTTTTCCCAGGCACAACAGAAGTTCCACTGAAGGAGGTACAATGTACAGTTCACTTAGATTTTTTAACCGTCTGCTGCAGGCAATAAAAACGATTGAGCACATCAGCGGTTTCATGCAGTCATTGAGCCTTACACTGTTAAGGATTACTTGGAAATCTTGGAATCTTAATTAGCGAGTTGAATGTCGAAAACTAATAATTTTATTATGTCTGTAGTGAATGCATTTGTATAACTTTTGACTTGTTTCATAGACCAATCAATTTGTTATTCTCAAAATAAGGAATAGTAATCTAATGAAATCAATAAATTCCTACTCTATTCTATCTTCTAATAGATGGCGACATTGCAAAATTATGACATCTGTCAGTTTTGAAACTGTTTTTCGAATTAAGAGTTGAATAATCTCACTGTTACATAATTATGTTCCGCGTCATTACTCACTTTGTAAAACTTCAACACGGCCAACTTGACCTTCTTCTTCTTGTGCTTGATCTTCTTGGGAGTGGAGTAATTCTTCTTCTTGCGCTTCTTGGCGCCCCCTCTCAGCCTGAGCACCAGATGCAAGGTGGATTCCTTCTGGATGTTGTAGTCGCTCAGCGTGCGACCGTCCTCCAGCTGTTTGCCGGCGAAGATGAGACGCTGCTGGTCGGGCGGGATGCCCTCTTTGTCCTGGATCTTGGCCTTCACATTCTCGATGGTATCGGAGGGTTCGACCTCGAGCGTGATGGTCTTGCCCGTCAAGGTTTTCACGAAGATCTGCATTGTGGGGAGTCGGCTGGAATTGGAAAGACTGACGTTTCATCGAAGATGTGAACCTTTGGCACGATAACCGCATTAAAGTGTTTTACCACTGACCAAACCGAATTTTCAAACGTCTCAACACGTGTTAGCATATCGCTGCTACAGAATAATAACGTCGCAAATGCAAAAAAGTAATTTTTTTCTGTGACGGGAAAAAAGTTTGGCATTTCATCTCTGTTGGCAGGTTATAAAATGTCTCATAAATTACTTTTTTCCCGTGGGAAAAAAGTGAGTACTTTTTTTCCCGGATATACAAGGTGATTCTAAATTAGGTGGTCAAACTTTGGGAGCATATAGAGTGGATGAAATTGTTACGAAAACCTTCGTAACATTTTTTTCTGAAGTGACCCGCAAGAAACATACAGCTCCTCAAAGGGGGGCCTCGGAGCATGATTCTGTATTATTATCTCCAACACCTTGTAAAATGAAAATCTGAAATTTCGTCCATCCACTAACTATTCAGTGCCGGTTCGAATGGAGTTAAAATCACCTCAAAATTAAATACAGGGGTGTGTCAAAATAGGGAGGTAGGGGGTAAAAATAACCCCAACTTTTTTGTTCATCGCAATTTCAGTTTTTTGACATGGAATTATGAAATCTACGGGCTATTTACATAGAAAAAATACTCTTGTTGCACCTCGATAAAATGAACTATTAGCGAATAAAATTTATTTTTCCAAGATTTCATTCAAATTGCGATTTTGGTATGTACTTCAGTTTAATTATGTAGGTCAAATCTCGCAACTGAATTTTACCTACTTCTAATCGTCTGATCAACTTAGAATCTGGCAGATGACAGTAGACAATGCGTTATGGCGGCTCCAATGTGGCTGACCAGATTTGTGATTATTACGTTGAAGAAATGTTGCGGATCTCTCACTGTTTCATCGAGATAAAGCTTGCCTCTCTCCAGAATTGTGATTATTACGTTGAAGAAATGTTGCGGATCTCTCACTGTTTCATCGAGATAAAGCTTGCCTCTCTCCAAAATCTTACTAATCGAAAACTCTACATTCTCTTACATTCCTGCTATGCTCTCTAACTCAGTGTTAAATTCTACGTTCCATTTCGTTGGAGTTATGTTGTATGAAAATGTAAAAAAATAAGGTAGAAAAAAATCAGTGATAATAATGCTTCCGGAATGCTCCGAGAAGTGGAAGAAGATATCTAGAAGCATTTTTTCTCATTTTCAGTGCATTCACCTAATTTCATCTCAAATTTTTTATTTCAATATTTTTTATTTTAGTATTTTCAATAGGATCAGACCATAATCACGAAACTCGTCGTTTATTTTTAATACATGAATTCCGACAACGAATTCAAAATTTCCAACCCCAAAAACCCTTACAAACCAATTTTGAATCGAATCGGACCATAATCACAAATCTAGTCAGCCACATTGGAGCCGCCATATTTTTTTCTATCAAAAAGTCCATAACGGGTTGTCAACTGTCATCTGTCAGATTCCAAGTTGATCAGACGATTAGAAGTAGGTAAAAATTCAGTTGCAAGATTCGAAGTAGATAATTAAACTTAAGTGCATAAAAAAATTGCAATTTACCGACATTCAACAAGAGCTCCTTTTCTATGTTGATAGCCCTGAGATTTCATAATTTCATGTCAAAAAACTGAAATTGCGATGAACAAAGAAGTTGGGGTTATTTTTACCCCCTACCTCCCTATTTTGACACACCCTTGTATTTAATTTTGAGGTGATTTCAACTCCATTCGAACCGGCACTGAATAGTTAGTGGATAAACAAAATTTCAGATTTTCATCATACAAGGTGTTGGAGATAATAATACGAAATCATTCTCTGAGGCCCCCCTTTGAGGGGCTGTATCTTTCTTGAGGGGAACTTCAGAAAACAATTTCACCGAGGTTTTCGTAATTATTTCACTCATTCTATATACTCCCAAAGTTTGACCACCTATTTTAGAATCACCTTGTATATCACATATATATACACTGTTGATGGCTTTTGTTGTGCTATAGTTCCGAAAAATGAGTCAATAATACCGTCTCCGAGAAAGAACGGCAAGTCATTTTATCTTCCATTCGACTTCGCGGTTACGTATATTCCTAAACAACCAATAAATTCGCAATTTTTCGAAATCAAATCACAGAATTAGACTGACAGAAGTGACATCAGATATTTGATTACTTCAAAAGAATGATAAAGATGCCTACAACGCAGGTGTCCCTACTGTTAAAGACTTAAAATTTCACGTCGATAATTTTCAGATTTCAAAATTTTGTAATATCTTCTCAATATGGATTCGTTCTTTCTTCTGTCACAGAAAAAAATAGTGTATTATACACGGGAAAAATATTAGATTTTAGCTCACGGTGTTTTGTCCCCCTCCGCTACGGGTATACAGGGGTGTTTCCATCAGAAGTGGGTCACACTGTATAAAAAAGCGATGTTGTCATTTTTCAAGTCAGAAAAAAAACCAATGAAACTGTCACTGTAAGACCCCCGTCATTCCTTGCTCGCACAAGTCTCTTGAAGACTTCTGAGGGTTGCTCGTAAGGGGGCAACCGAATGATGGATAAGAACAATTTTAGAACAAAAGAGATAAATTAAATCGATAGTTAGTGACACCTTGTTTGAAGAAAAAACGAATATAGATGTATTGAAATAATGTAAAATCTTACCCATCTTTGAACGTTTCGAGAACCAATCTGCTCCCGTTTTAAACATAGAATAGGAAGATAATTATTCTTGAGTTTGATCTTTTTTTTTTATTTTCTTGACACTTGACACAGAGTGTTTCTTTTATTGACAATAAAATAAACAAGAGTACTTTTTTCAATTCAAGGTTCAAGCTACCTAATTTTTTTTGCTCTGATTTTACTCAAAATTTGAGAAGATAAAACTTTGTGTAAACCAGCGGTCTAATGTATGTACGCTGTGTAAACCTGATAAACTATGAAAGATAAATATATGTCAAGGTCACGATTGTAAGAGATCCTTACTAGTGTCCCTCATATTTTCATTGAATAATATAAATTACTAGTTAGAAAAACTCATCTAGCTGCATCCTAAAAGCTCCCATCCAGCCCAAGGACTTGCAGTAAAAAAAATCATCTATTTTTTCAGGTTCTATTCATATTCTTTTCTGAATTGTCTAGAAGGAGACACCTTGTATTTATAATATTCATATGAACAAAACTTTATATTGTTCTCAAAAAGCCTTTAGACTTATGAGAGATGAATGGATAGGGTTATTTTTTCTATTTCATACTATTTCAAACATAATTCTTTTCCTAACTTCAAAAGATGTTTACACATTATAGAAACTTCAACAGATATAATCAAAAACCTAAGGGATAAAAAAACATGTCAGATAACAATATTACAAAATTCAATGTTGCTTATTAAAAATTAAACCATGTGAAATGGGCACTGAATAATAAATAAAAACAGACACACTGCTATCATGAGATTTATTTATTCACATAACATGTTATAAGACAATGTGACAAAGTCAAGATAATGGAAACAAAAAAGCACTCTGCAAAAGAATTTCTCAAACTAACAAAACTGCATTGATGCACCCATCATTTTCTGGATTATTTGTAACTTGTGCATATTTACCCCACACCACTTTACCAGCTTGAGTCACCAACCCCAATTCAGAAATATTCACTTCAATAACAGTTCCCTTAGTTATAACCCCTAAACTTGTAAACATGGGTGAGCTTGGATTTTTCTTCACTCCAATGATGGGTAAACAGAATGTAGCTTTGAGTTCTGGGTGTGTAACATGTGCTTTCTTGAATCTGAGTGCCATTGGTCTAATAAAACGTTCAAATTTTGGAGGTTTTCTGGTGAAGCCTTCACCAACAAATGTGACCTTTGTAACCATACGTTTCCATGCTTTCCTTTTGGTTTTTCCAGACTTGACAACCCTCAATACTTCAGAATCTGCTTGTGCCCTAACTTTGGGAATTGGCACATCCCATTTACCAGCTTTCTCTTTCCTCTTCTGCTTGATCATGTTGGATAGGACCTTAGCCCTAGATTGGACATCACGGTCCAATAGATAAACAGGTAGGGCTCCCTCAGCTACATTTTCTGTAGTTTTCTTGACCTTCTTCTCTTCATGTGCCTTGATTTTCTTTTTCATTTGAATCTTTTCATTCCTGCGTTCTTTGTTGAATATTTTGGCCTTGATACCTCGCAGATTTCTGGCAACTTGGGCCCTCTTGTGAGGTTCACGGGCCTCCCGTTTACGTTTTCTTTCTTCATAGTCAAGACGACGTCCATATAATTTACGGTGACGCTCAATGTATTCGTTCTGCGGCATTTTGGTGTCGTCTGAAACAAGAAATAATGCAAACAATTTCACAAGATGTGAATAACCATATTCAAGTCTCTTTGAATATGACTACGTCACCGAAAAGGAAAAAGTACAGCTCACTTACCTTCAAGGAATAGTGGAAATTGACCAAAATAGTCATATTCAGAGAGAATTCACTAATATTAAAACCGGAAAAGAGAATAATCACTTGAAATAGGAGTTGTGACCATGTGGGGATATTGTTTTGAACAATATCAAGATAATTTGAAGTCACAGGAATCTTGAAATTACAGAATTGACATAAACACATTGCAACTGATTTCGAGATATTATAAAATCATGAAATAGGCATATAAAAGTACAAATACGCAAAAATATACAATAAGAATTTCACTCACCGTCTACTCCACCATTACACGCTGTAAAAAGAAAAATTTGACATATGACAATTGAAAGGAAGATGATGACGATTTTCCGTAAATGTTACCAACATTAAGATTATTAATTTATTGAAGGTGTGTTCGTTTGCTCTCTTATGTCAGGTCATAGAACGACAAACTAGTTGAGATGCTTCATGAAAATTGGCCTTTTTTGTTTTCAGTTTTCACTGTTTTTAGGTTAAGTCAAGTTGAGGTTATGTTTTCTTATTTTTTAGAAAATGAGTTACGAAGTCAGGTATTCCGATTCTGCAAAGGTATTATTTCTTCTTGGTACTCAGATTACTCGATTCAACATTAATTTTCTAGGGTCGTGGTTTATTTTCAAAAACAAAACTTCTATGTGATACAACCATCCTAGAAGAGGACCCTCTAGTATCCTGCCAGTTTCAATGGAATGCAGCTTATCAATACTTAGCTTGTGATCATTGTTTGAGGTAAATATATCAACATCTACTCCCTCTTATCAATTCATGAATGTTACCTTATTCAGACCTCTAGAAACTGCACAAGAAAATGCAACTAGATTAACAGGTAAAATGGTAGAATTGCCTCATCCAGAGTGCTGCTGTACAGATAAGAGTAGATTTTCTTCATGTCCTAGTTGTGGGTTACAGTACTGTTCAACTGAATGTAGAGAAGAAGCTTACAATCAGTATCACCGAATACTGTGTACTCAGACAACAGATAAAAACAGTTCTCACCCATTGGAACAGTTGAATGAAGCATGGAAGTGAGATTTTCCTTACAAAAAAGAATGGTAGGACATACCTATATGTGGTTCAATTTTAGGCAATTGCACTATCCCCCTGAAACCAGCACAATTTTTCTAGTGGTTAGACTCCTAGCTAGGATTCTTCAGGCCCCAAATAGGGAAGCTGCTATTGCACAAACTCTACAATTTTGTCATCACACAGTGAATGAAGATGCAGATTTGGCACATAAACTGTTGGGTGAAAAGTTTGCAGGTCAACTATCACTGCTTCACAATTTGCTAGTTGCTGCTGTTCCACATGAAGGCATAGAACAATTTTTAACATTTGAGGGGTTCCAAAGTCTCTTGGCCCTGATAGGTAAGATACATAGAAAATAAATCATTGATTCTTATCAATTTACTGTTGAGTACATATGGTATTTTTTTAAGGTACTAATGGGCAAGGATTAGGCACTAGTGCTATAAGTCAGTGGGTCAAAAATACTGGCACTTTACCTATTTCCCAGGAAGAGAGAGAAAACTTGGACTCATTTGTAGACAATCTTTATATACAGATGGATTCCAATGTGGGAGAGTTTTTGAATAATGAAGGGGTTGCCCTGTATGCTCTACAGAGTGCTTGCAATCACAGTTGCAGTCCTAATGCTGAGCCCAGATTTGAGCATAATAATCATAGGTAGACATTCTTACTGATTTCCATAAATTTGTTTTTCAAACTATTCAGTCTCATATTTTTTGACCTGCATTTATTGTTTGTAAATTTTTCAGGTTATCTTTGGTGGCAACCAGAGATATTGAAGAAGGTGAAGAGATTTTCATTAGCTATCTGGATGAGTGTATTTTGGGTAGGTCAAGACATTCAAGAAGAAAAGAACTTGTCAGCAACTATCTTTTTGAATGTCATTGTTCAAAGTGTGAAGCAGAAGCTGATGAACCTGATGTTACCAGTGAAGAAGATGATGATGCAGAAGAATCAATGGAGGATTCATCTTGAATTTGATATGGGGGTTTTGTACTGAAAATAATCTTGAATATGAACAAATTGTTAATTCATATTTGATATCCTTTATAGATTTTCATGATAATAGAATATTCTAAACACATTTTCAATCCTCTTCTTATCCCATAATGATTAAAACAAAGAGAACTTGGTCAGAACCCATGAAGTAAATATCTGTAAATTAGACATTTCTTTTATGAGATTGAAGGCATATAAGTAGATTAAAATATATTAAATATATCTACATGAATAGAACTATTCATTCTATCACAACTCCTGTGTTAGGTACCAGATTTATCAGCTTGTTACTGTTTTCTGCCAAGTCAGCTATGGACACCCTTCCTCTCTGCCTGATGAACTTTGCTACTGCCTCCATTTCTTCCTTTGCAACATAAATAAACTTCCCTCTGTCATCTATGACCCCAGTAAGAATATCATCATTCTGCAGATCCTTGATACGATCAATGGCTGATTGAGTTTTCAATTTGAAATGTGCAGCCAAGTCTTCAATAACCACAACCTTGTTGTTCTTGATGTAGTTTACAAACTCTTGCAAAAGATTCTGTTCATCTCCAGCATCACCATCTTCAAAACCTTCTTCTTCAACAGAGAAAGCTTCTTTCATCTTCAAGTACTCCTCATACTCCCTTTGTTCTTGTTCTTCTTTTGCTTTCTTAGCTTCTTCCTCTAGGCGCTTTTCTTCAGCTTTCTCTTTCTGTTCTATTTTTCGGCGTTCCTCTTCAGCTACCTCAGCTTTTTTCTTTTTTTCAGAACGTAGTTGTTCTTCAACTTCTCTAGCAGCTTTCCTTTCTGCTTTTGCTTCAAGTTTTGCCCTCTTTTTAGCCCCAAGTTTGGCATCAAAAGCATCTAGTTCTTCTGTATTGACTTCATTTTCTTCCTCAGATTCCTGGTTATCCTGCTGAGCAACTGAAAAGTATGTAATGAGAAATAGCTACTTTTTCATCTGCAATAGTTACCATTGGCTCTTAGACGTACTCCTCTGTTCCTAGCTATTTGAGCCCTTCTAGGTACTCCATCTCTCGCCCTGTTGGGGCCAGCTCTAATCCTTTCTGGTTCTGGAATAAAAGGATTCTTAGTGAAGTGTCTGTACCATATGGGAGACTGAATTACCTTTTGCTCCTTTGCTCTTTCTCAAATAGATTGATAAACCTATAAGTACGATAATTAATATAGCTGCCAACGCTATAAGTAGGAATAAATCCATAGCTGGTGAAGTTTATTCTATTGAATTTTCATTTCGAAATTCGAAAACTTGTATGATTTTTAATTTATATCATCTCATAACATAACCAAATTTCATGTGTTTATAAATATTTTGTCTTTTGTTTTCTGCCAACTGTCAATTCATGTTCTATCAAACATAGAACCTTAAAATATTCTGAGGTGCTCAAGGCTGGTTGTATATTATTAGGCCTGTTCGTTTGTATTGCTAAACTTGCTGAAGTTGATTTTTTTTCCTATAGTTGTCTCTGTTCATGGCATGATGTAAACAGAGAAAGTCCTTGAAAAAATCAAGATCAGCAGGTAGAGCAAACACAAACGAACAGGCCTATTATGTTATTTAGGGCGTGTTTTTCATTCCATCGAAGAAAGTGCGCACTGATAGATGCGGTTTTTGTCGTGACGTCACCAATTGTTCTGTTGGTATTTATGCTGAAAGGATTGAACAATGGTTTATACAACACATTGATGGAAACACGGATTTTTTGTGTGTCAGTCATCATGTATCTTGAGAATCAGAAAAGGCTAATTCGACTTGATTGATTAACACTGACTCTTTCTTCTAAAATCTCTCAAGAATCTCAAAAATCCTCAATATTAATTGTTTTCTATCAAATCAAAACAAAAAACAACACTAAAATGTGTCAACTGTCATGTCAATCTCCTCCAAACTGCTGGATTCTCGAAATGCGATTCAAAAGTGCGCATTTTATTACAACAGTTTGATGGATGTCCATCAACATTCCAGCGGAATTTTGCAACAGTTTGATGTTTTCTTCGATTCATGCGCATGATAAAATGTTGGAATGAAAAACGTACCCTTACTTCTGTTTAACATGCGAGTATGAGAAGGAAACATATTCATTAGGCCTGTTCGTTTGTACTTGCTCAACCTGCTAAACTTTTTTTTTCTATGACTTTCTTTGTTCACATCATGGCATGAACAGAGACAACTATGGAAAAAAGATCAACTTTAGCCAGTTTAGCAATACAAACGAACAGGCCTGTTGAGTGCAGAAACTCCTCCACTCAACCTGCCAATGGAATTCGCTATAAGATACATTGGTCAAAAACCGACAACACTTTGTTCCTCTTTGTTCATAGAAAATTCGTAAGAGGCACTGATATAGTACATCTCTTTTACAGGGGCATATCCATCACACACATGACGGCTAAATATAACCCATCAGACAGTCTAGATATTTAGCCGTCATTGATCAGACCAAATAACAACAATCATCGATTTATACCCTGGTCTGCTCAAACAAGGGAAATCGCCTACAGGGTTCTGTGGCCGATACAGTAGCACCGCCATACGGTCAACTCGAGGAAACACATTCCAATTGTTTTCTTGTCAAACATACATAACCTTGAAAATCGTAAATGAGTTGAGCCTCCTTTCACATTCATTCATCATATCAATATAAAATCAACACTTACCCCAAAAATTCAAGTGGGTGGATCCTTTTCTAAGCACTTTTTCCCGTGTTTTGTCACCTTAAATCATTCCTTCTCAGAATGGTTGCTACAGACACTACAACCTACAACAGTCCCCAATTCTGTAACTTTCAACACCTAAAGTAAATGAGAGGTAGAATCAGTAGTATCGATTATTAGCTTTTGATCAGGGCTCTGATTTTCTTACTTGTAATGGACCTGTAACACTCAATATCGAAATCTATCCACTTATGTCGCAAAGAAATACTTGGAAATCCATGAATGGAGACTGTTTCACACTTCCTGGTAGGTATAATTAGAGGTGACAGAGTTTGTTACAAATTATTAATCAGAATAAATTACTATACTGGGAGTACAACACAATACTATATCTATAAACGAAAGGAATATTAGAACAATGAGAATTGAAAAAATACAAAACAAGTCACGATGGCACAACAGTTCTTGACACTGACAACTAACAACCACAAATTTCGAAAATTTTCTAGAAAAAAGATCATTTCGTCCGATACGTTAACATCTTCTGGTGGTCATACACTCAACTGAGCTATAGGGAAGACCAGTAGTTCCAGCTCACTAGTTCTTTTCTTCATATTTAGCAGACAATGATTTATACTTACCACATAAAAAAAACAGAAATGGTGTAAGTAGGTTCATTTTGGATAGTGTTCTGATAATTTACTTATTTATTTAATAATGAAGTATCTATTTCCATTTTAGAGGTTGCAGAGATTCGTAAAGCGACATCTATTAGTGCAAACACCATATTCACTGGTGTTTATATTGAGTTCATTGTATTCACCACTCAAAAACTAGAATTTAAACACATCTCAACCTGAACATAAGCTTTCTTTCCCGTTGAATGAAGATAAAACTATCCGAATTTGGCTAAGCTCTGTAGCAAATTTTATTATCGTCACTTTTCCCACCTGCTGGTTGTAATTTCAAAACGCCTTTGAAGATTATATTCTTCCTAACTTTCTGCATAGTATATTATCCTTCTGTGCTTTCTGCTTTAACCTCACTTTAGAATCATAGAGCATGAAGGAAGGGACACAATAAATAGGAACTTAATGTATTTAAAGCTAGTTTATAATACAAACTATAAACAACGAATTGAGTGGATTTTATACATGTATACATTTTTAAAAATTTACCTTAATTATTAATGTATGACAAATCATGCCATCTATTAGTTGATAATTCTCTTATAAATATTAAAATAAAAGTGAACTAGGAAATTATGTTGTATTCTTGTATTGCAGAATAGAGAAACATAATTCCGTTGGTATGTTTCCATAAAACGTCTTTCATAACAATTGATAAAATCCTATTGCGCCAAAATTGTAGTGTAGGTACCTATTCAACATTTTTTTCATCATCGTACCATCCATTTCGCCAAAATTAATTGTGATTTTAAACTGAACAACATAAACAGCATTCAAAGGAGAACTGAGTTTATAGTTAGCACCTTGCGAAAAAGCACAGATGATCAAACCACATAAAAAAGCAGCAGATAACAAATAACGTTGATCTCTTGATAGCAGTCAAAATATAAAAAAAACAAAACTCATACAGAACATGTATAAAATCCTATTCACTAGGTCTGACGTAAATTAAAACAGGGCCAAAGTAAGAATCAGCATAATATTTTCTATCCGTAGATCTCCGTGTGCATTTCAATGGTCAAACTGAAAGATTTATTTTAGGAATATTTTTTAGTATCACCTTGGTAGCTTGAACGAAAAATCCCCAAGGATGATTCAAAATCAAAACCATCCACCTGAATTAGAAAATTCAACTGATCACCCATATTTTGTCTGCTGCTCCACAATAATTCAATTTGTTGACTGATCGATTTAGGTAGGTACCTATACCTATAAGAAAAACAGTACCAACATGGAAAGTAAAATTTCAAAAGTTTTTGAACCATCCTTGCAGTACCGTTGATTCTTCGAATTCCGTGACTATGAATTTTCTCTGTTCAAAAAATCATATTTTAGAATCTTGAAATAAAGCAAATTGAAATAAAAATTTCCTAATGATTGGAGACATTCAATTCCAGCGAGTCATTAAATTATGTAATAACTGTTATGGTCATGTCATGGAATTCATATTGAATCACCCAGTCACAATGAAAAAACAAACTCGTTCAGCTTATTTTGATAATTCTCATATTAACTGTATTATTAAATCAAACTGTCTTATTCCCTAGATTTCTCATCGTCCTGTCAAACGAAAATAAAAATACCAAGTTCCGATAAGCAAATTTTAGTTGAACCAACAATTCATGTAGGATTTCAAAATCTCCTATTTTTTTCAAATCTTAGGGTGTTTCATTGAAAAAGTGTGCCAGATTCTGAAAAATAACACAGCGTTTATCACTCACAGAACTGTCACTTTGAACGCCCCCCCCCCTTCTATATCTCAAGTATTAATCATACCATTGTTGCCAAATTTGGACTCCATTTGATCAGTTTTTCAGAGACAATGACCATTTTGGACAGTACCGTGCGTTTTTATTGAAATAAAAAAAGGATCGATTTTTCGTGGAATCATAGTAGGCATTTTATTACGGGAAAACACCTCATGATATTATTTTTCATAATTCTGAACCCCCATATGTGAATTTTCATGTTTTCTATGGAGTGTGAAAAAACCAGGCACATAACTATTTTCTCGGAGTCGGTGAGTTCATAGAAAAACAGTATATTTTTTTCAAGTGGAGCTATCGAATGCTCTTAAATTTTCAATCAATTTGAATCAATTCTTTTTTTGATCCTGGTAATTTTGAATGAGTTTAATTTTTGCATATGGACATTTGGAAGCATGAGGATCAATTTTTCTGCAAAACAAATGCCTGATATAATTTCATGAAAAATCGACTTTTAATTTCAATGAAAACACACGACACAGTCGATAATGAAGTTCACTGAAAAACTGATCATATTGATGGTTATTCATATTAGCCAAAATTTGGTAAGAATCGCATGACTAATAATAACTAATAGCTGAGATATAGAGGATGCGCCGTTTAAAGTGAGACACGCTGTATATCGTGGTCAGAAAATTACGAATCAACAAAGAAATATCCATATCTCGGTATACAGTGTAACCATGAGTCACCCTACCACCATAAAATCTAGGTAAATCATACCCAAAATTGTAACATCTTAGGGCAAATCGCCATATTCCAACAAAATTCAAAGCCTACTTGGAAAGGATCAGACATTTTGATAAGCTACTGGTACCATACCTGTAGAGTTTTATTGGCATCAATATTCTGAGCATGTCTTTTCAATTTGTTCAATGTTTCTATCAATTGTTTTGTCAAAAATATGCATGTGAATGAAATCTACGAAAATGATAATTCTTGTGCATTCACATCGCTGTTACTCTAAAGTAATCCAATGAGCTTAGGTGCTGATCCATTTCGAGAGATTCTGAAGTAAAATTCACGTGATTGGCCTTGACATTTTACAGGTGATATAAAAAACAAACAGGTCACAATGTATACAGGACAGATGACCAATCAAGCATTGGTTATTTGCAATTATTGTTTCATAAAGTCAACCTACACACCTTCCTCAAAAAAACACCCTATATCACAAATAACAGCAATAGCCAGTAGTTTCTCGCACTTTCGGAACTCTCGCCTTTCCGTCAAACAGACACAAAAAACCCTTCCGAACCGTGAGAAACAAAGGGCGCACGACGACCTCCCCTCTCCCTGAATATTCATCACCCTGTATCGTTTTAGAGTACAAAGACAGTCGTTTCTCCTCTGCGCCCGATAATCCGAGTCGCGCCCTTATGCGCCTGCGCTCAGAACTGGAATCCGCCCATCGGCACCGATTGGTCGGACGTGAACTGGTACTGCTGGTGGTCGGGATCGATGGAGGGCGCCACGTTAGCGTCCTCCTCTTCCGTGCCGAAGAAGTGCTCGATGATGTCGAACGCCTTCTGGTAGATGTCCATGTTCTCGTGCGATTGCAGGAATTCGATTTTGTCTAGGCCTGATGACGGTAATACGAGGTTTTCAGGACTTTATGGCAAGCATTCAAATAACCATGACTTACGGTACGGATGCATTTTTATACCAGTCATAACGAGTCTAGTAATGGCGATCAATTAGAATATCTGTGTCCTTCCTTAATAAGATAACATGAGGAATATTTCATTGGTATCTGGGCGTTTTCGGGGTCGGAGATCATGATTTCTTAATCAAAATTAGGACCTTCAAGATGGTGCATTCATTATGGAGGACAAGTTTTGTAATTAGGATCCGGTATATGCAGAATTTGTAGCTGAGTGTTTTCGAGGTCAGAGGTTATGATACCATCGTCAAAATTGGGAAATTAAAGATGGCGGATCCGATATGGGAGACGGGTTTGGTAATTATGATCCGATTCTATTCAAAATTGGTATCTGGGTGTTTTCAGGGTCGGAGATTATGATTCCTTCGACAAAATTAGGAAATTCAAAATGGCGGATCCAATATTTTAGACACGTATTGTGATTATGATACGACTCTATTCAAAATTGGTATCTGGGGGTTTTCCGGGTCGGATATTATGATTATTTCGTCAAAATTTGAAAATTGAAGATGGCGGCATTGATATGGCGGACTAGTTTTGTTATTATGATCCAGTATATTCAAAATTTGTATCTGAGGGTTTTCGAGGTCAGAGAATATGATTTCATCGTCAAAATTATGAAATTCAACATTGCAGATCCAATATGGCGGACGAGTTTCGTAATCATAATCCGATTCTATTCAAAATTTGTATATGGGGGTTTTCGGGGTCGGAGATTATGAATCATTCGTCAAAATTGGAAGATTCAAGCAAACTAAAAAGGAGTAAAAAACTAATAGCTAGACGATACAATTAAAAAGTTACTTAGTTTTCACTTCTATCGGCAGGTCCCAAAGGCTGCCCCCGGACTTTTTTTAAATGAATGAATTAGATTCAGTATATCAACCTGTAGATTTTTTTCACCATTACCAAATTTGAACCTAGTACCTCCGGCGTGGCATCAATGAAACTTTTCCCAATAAAAAAGTTCGTTCGTACGCCTACTCTTTGAGCAAAATAATTTATACCTCTTGTGATGCTATTTTCCATTTTGGGTCCCCCTAGTATTCTAAATACTGGCCTTATACAGAACAAACTGACCTCCTTTTCAATAAAAACCTATATGCGTAGATAGAACATCGGGCCACCCTGAACAAATTTCTTCAAGTATATTCTCAAAAAAATACTGTGGATGCCGATAATGATTCCCTAGGTCTATATTCCTAAATACATATAATAGTTTTGAACACCACTGACATTATTAAATAATACTATATTGCTAGGAATGGATGCAGATTGGAATTGACCGGCATAGTTATCTTTCTGATTGAACTGAAAATGTATCTATACAGAAAGTGATAGTTATTTGAATACTTGAGTCTTTATTTTGATGAAAGATTATCGTGGACTCAACATACATACATACAATATGTTGTTGTCTATTCAAAGCTTTTGCATGATGTTGAGTGAAAATATAATATTGAAAAAGTACGAAGAGCGTCGGTATAGTTTACCCCCACCCCTCCACTTTCCATTTACAAACTTCACAAAAATATAATGGTATTACTGGTATTAGCATTCGTCAAAACGTTGACCGTTTTAATGAAGCTGCAACTTTTTTGCTATATCAAGATAAACATTTCAAATTAGAATCAAAAGCATCATTGTTACATTGAAAACCAAAACAACTTTATCAGACCAAGGTTATCAGTTAAAATAATTATTGCAAATGGTGGAAAAAAGGTACTATGATTTCTATATTTTTCGGCAATTCAAAATAAGCACTAGAACTCACCATAACATTCTTCAATGAGGACAGCATACGGATTAGTGCCGTTCTGCAACTTTGCATCTTGCTCACCAAGTCTGAGAATATTTTCTAAACCATTAAGCGCCACCTAGCAGAAAGTCATCACATTTTAGACACTTATAACGTCAGTTATAATTAGTATTCAAATGTCAATCGACGGATATTTCCAGGAAAAAATCGTATCCAGTTGTATTCCTACGAATATTCCATGATTGATACAATAAACGAGCGCCTAGCGAGAGTTGCGCACACTGCATCCATCATTCAGGCTTCCAACATGATTGATGTTTTAAATGCCAAAAAATTTTATCGCAGAAAAACGAGTTTGGTTGGACACGTGTGGTACAATTTAAAAAAACACAACAACAACAAAAAAATATCGCTGTAATACAAAAGAAACCATAAAAATGTTCGATTCTGATTGGTTATTGAGAACAAGAGTGAAAAAGTCATAGGAATACAACTCCTGATAGTAGTTTTCCTGAAAATTTCCGTCGATTGCCATACTCCAGCTTGCTGCTTTAATTCTGCTCATGACATAGTTCCTAAACTTTTCGCCTACGGCTCGATAGTTTTGATAAAACAAAGTCATTTCCCGGAATTAGTAGGCAATATCTTGTAATAACAATCACCGAAATTTTCCTGTAAAATAGTATCACCTCTTGGAACGCACGAAAGGAAATTCTCATTATGTTCGGAGAACATCCTGCATACCTATAGAGGAGAGAGAAAGGAGTATTGGATAGGATAGGTATTGGAATTGTTTTCCAACATTTGGAGGTTATAATATCGAATATCTCGACAACCAACTAGTGGAGTTACATAATATGAATATATGATTTACCTGTACTATTTTGGCATCCATGACGGTCAAAAGATCGCACAGAGGTCCGATGCAGTTCTGACTGACGAGGTACCGTATTTGGTCGGGGGTGCCTCCGCTGGTAGCATTCGTGATGGCCCAGGCTGCCTCTTTGCGCGTCTTGAACTCCGCTTTGCCCAAAATTTCGATGAGAACCGGGAAAATGTTGGCATCTATGACAGCCTAAAAACAGTAAATATTCCAGAAAAACAACAATGATACCGTTTAACTTGGAAATCATTTTGAATTTCTGCTCTAGCTCTAGTAGTTTGTAAAGTAGCAGACCATAAGTCGGATCTTCGATCTGACTTCAAATTCATGATCAGCAACCTTGAAATACCCTGGATACCGAATTTCAGCCTCCTAAACCGAATTTTAACCTTCACCTGTCATTTGTCAACTTTGTTATCTGTCAAAGACGACAAAAGTCGAATATCTCGACAACCAAAGAAGATAGACACGACGTGTTTGGTATCAAATTGCAGGTCTCGACGAGATCTGCACGGTGACATCAACTGTTTACCTGTATCTGTTCAAATTCACGATCAGCTACCTCAAAATACCCGGGATAAGGAATTTCAGCCTCCTAAACAAAATTTCAACATTCAGCTGTCACTTGTTAATCTCATTATCTTTCAAAAATGAAAAGTATTCGAATATCTCGACAACCAGAGGAGATAGATATGTAGTGTATGGTATCAAATTTAAGGTCTCGACGAGATCTGCACGATGACATCAACCGTTTGACTGCACCTATTAAAATCCATGATCAGGTACCTCTAAATACCATGGATACCGAATTCCAGCCTCCTAAACCAAATTTCAACCTTCACCTGTCACTTGTCAATCTTGTCATCTGTCAACAATGAAAAGAACTCGAATACCTCGACAACCAGAAGAGATAGATAAGTCGTGTTTGATATCAAATTGAAGGTCTTGACTAGATCTGCACGATGGCATCAACCATTCACCTGTATCTGTTCAAATTCATCGCGACCTCAAAATACCCGGGATATCGAATTTCAGCCTCCATAACCAAATTTCAACCATCACCTGTCACTTGTCAATCTGGTCATCTGTCAAAAGCGATGAAAGTCGAATATCCTGGCAACCACAAAGGACAAATAGGTCGTGAATGGTGTCAAATTGAAGGTCTCGACGAGATCCATCCGGTGACATCAACCGTTTATCAGCACCTAATCAACAACATGATCAGCGACCTCTAAATACCCAGGATACCGAAATCCAGCCTCCTGAATCAAATTTCAACCATCACCTGTCACTTGTCAATCTTGTCATCTGTCAAAAGCGATGAAAGTCGAATATCCAGGCAACCACAAGGGACAGATAGGTCGTGTATGATGTCAAATTGAAGGTCTCGACGAGATCTATCTGGTGACATCAACCGTTTAACAGCACCTATTCAAATCCATGATCAGCAACCTCTAAATACCCTGAATACCGAATTCCAGCCTCCTAAACCAAATCTCAACCTTCACCTGTCACTTGTCAATCTTGTCATCTGTCAACAATTAAAAAAACACGAATACCTCGACAACCAGAAGAGAAAGATAAGTCGTGTTAGATATCAAATTGAAGGTCTCGACGAGATCTGTCCGTTTACCTGTATCTGCTGCCGATTGCCCGCCGTGATGTTGCTGATGGTCCAGCACGCCTCCTTCTTGACAGCCTCCTTTGGCGAGGACAGCAGGTGCTGCAGGCAGGGCAGGGCTGAACAGTTGAGGATCACCTGCGTCTGGACATCGTCGCCGGTCACTATGTTGCCGACGGCGCGAAGGGCTGCCGAGACGACGTTGGGCTGCTGCGCCATCAGCAGCTCGACCAATCTTCGGCAAACGCCTGCGTCCACTACCGCCTGAAAAAGGAACACGTGGATGTTTTCATCGTCAGGAATGGGTCTTTCTGGAACTAGGGTCCCTTGATGAAAACTGACGTATTTGTCATCGAACAGGGTACGGACAGATCATAGTTTCTTTCTCTTTTAATCATCTAGTGACTTTGGTTTCGTGTATTGGCATCCCTGACATGACATTGCTGTCACGTCACATTCATAGGCGTTAAAAGAGATGTTACAAAATTTTAATTTCATACTTGATCTTAATACGACATTATACAGGGTTTCCCAAAAGAACCGGAACGGTCGAATATTTCAGCAACGACTTGACATAAGAATATGTAATTTGGTATACGGGGGTTATCAGTAGTGCCGGATCTGAAAATAATATTTGCAACGTTGCCAGATTTACAGTTTTTCCTATGGATTCCTCAACTTTATTTTTTCATATGTAATGCTATATATATTTTCAGCGCATTCGATTTGTCATGTTCAAATCACTATGACCCTATAATATCATATTTTAATTCGCCTAATTTTTGTTACTATGGCAATTCAACATTTCGTTAAAAAATATCACCACTCCTACTCGATTGCTTTGAAATTTGGCAGGTGTACGTGATTCTGGTGGCAATGCAACATGAAATTTTTGTTAGACAAAAAACATAATGGTCGCTCTTAAATGGCGGACGAGTTTTGTAATTATGATCCGATTCAATTAAAAATTGGTATCTTGGGTTTTCGAGGTCGAAGATTATAATTCTTTCGTCAAAATTGGTATATTCAAGATGGAGGATCCAATATGGCGGACGAGATTTGTTACTATGTTCCGAATCTATTCAAAATTTGTTTCTGGTGGTTTTCGGGGATCGAAGATTGATTCTCTCGTCCAAATTTGAAAAGTCAAGATGGCAGATCGGATATCCCGGAAGTTTTGTAATTATGTTCCGATTGTAGTCAAAACTGATAGCTGGCAGTTTCAGGGGTTAGAAATTAGGATTCTTTTGTCAAAATTGGAAAATGCAAGATGGCGGATCCAATATGGTGGACGCGTTAAGCAAAAATTGACAGCTGGGTTTTTTTCGGGGTAGGAGATTATGATGCTTTTGTCAAAATTGGAACAATCAATATGGCGGATACAATATATTATTAATTTTATTCATTCCTCCCTCACCATATGCATGGAGAAAATGTATAGTTGATTTCTTGATTTTTGTTGATAGGGGTTGAAGGGTATAGACAATGCTGAAGTAACTCATTCTTAAGGTAATATTTCTTCCATTAGGCGTCATAAAAAATATTGGGTGCCATTTAAAAAGGTTGTGTTTTACAATGCTACATTTGAAAATTGACTGCGCCCATATGGTACAGAATAGGATCATTGATGGGACATCAAGAGTTAGCCTAGACTTTCAACTAACTTTTCCGTTAATTTGGTGCTCTAATTTCAAATGGTTTGCAAGATACAAACACATGTTTTCATAAACTCCTATGGTGGTATTTATTTTCAGTAAAATCTACATATTTATCTGGACAACTGTGATAGATAAGTTGTCTAAAATCAAAAGGCCAATCAAACCATGTGAAAAAAAATGACCATAACTGATGTAGGATTTCTGAACTAGATTTAAGAGAAGAAAATAATTATGCAGCGGCGATCGTCAAGTTTTTTTGATTACCAAAATCCAAAATACAAAGCATATCTCAATTACCGTTTTTTGATTCAGAAACTAAATTGCACATTCTCAGATCACTCTTGAGTAGTCTTGAGTAGAATTCATTGCTAATAAAACAAAACAAGTTGTATGCTCTGGTTGACATAAAGAAACCTGGAATACCATTGAAGTTTCTCCACCCTGTGCTGTGATTTTTCTCTCAATTAACCTCATTGTTTCATTTCAAGGATGTGAATTATTTTCACACTCATTTCCAAATAAGCACCTCTCATTTCATTGGAAAAAATCGCACATTTTCTGCTACAAAACTCAGATATTAAATTGGGAATCCAGAGTACAGAAATTCAGATAACAGTATCAAATAAAAACATCTCATTTTCAAGTCACATTTTCTCAATTTCAAATTTTTTCAACCAACTATAACTGACTATACAAATTCCACATGTTGTGGTATATCAGCACTTGGTGAAAAAAATACCAACTCTGCTCAAGCTAAATAATACAAACCATAAAATAATGTCCAGTGTGAATTCATAGTTATTCAAAATAAATGGATCTGTAATAAGAGGAGTGCAAATTTCACCTGTATTCTTTCATTTGGCCCATCTGACAGATAGCTCAGGGACCAGCAAGTGTCTGCTAGGACATCTGGATCAGTGTGGAACAGGAGCCTAGACAGTATCGGCAAACAAGGTGATACTTTAGAGAAATCTGGTGGGGGATTCTTGCCTCTGCACAAGTTTGACAAAGCCCACACAGCATTCCTGATCATTGTCAGACGATTAGATTTACTCAATGATCTAAAAAAAATCAACAGACTAAACAACTTGCACTAGAGAAGGATTTTTTTATAGCATAACATTTGTGTGTATAAGATATTCAAAACAAAATGACCAAGCAGTAAACACTAGTATGTGAAGTTGGAAATTTTCCAATTTATAATTTGTGATGCTGAAATTCCTATATGCACCATCAGAAAATTAAATATCCAAGCTGAGGAACTCAAATCATATGAATATTTCAATTTATAAAATTTGTTTCTTCTATTCTATACAGAATTATATATAAATAATTTTCAAAAAACTGTACTTACTGCAATAGTGGTACTAATATACCAGAATCTAAAACATGATCTCTGCATTCAGGAGAGTCTCCTGCTATATTTCCTAAAGCCCAAACTGCTTGTTCCTATGATTTAAAACAAATATAATGAATTTATATACCTCCAAATAACTCATGAAGTTGATACAATGCAGTTAACTAAGAATATACCTGGACATCATCATAGGAACTTCCTAATAGAGCAATGAATATTGGTACAGCTCCAGCATCAATAACCATTCTGGTCTGTTGAGAAGTACCAGATGCAATATTTGTTAAAGCCCATGCTGCCTCAAACTGAAAACCATGAAAATTGATAATAATTGAACATCACCAGAGGAACCTGCTATTGTCTTACCTGTAGAGTACAGTTAACAACATTTTGTAAGAATTCTACAAATTTGGGTACTATCCCTGTCTGGATGACCTCATCTATAGGTGGATTTGGCTCTCTGCTGAGTAATTTTCTAAATTTCTGTGTAGCAGCAAGCTGCAGTTCTGGGTCTGAGCTGTACAAGTCCTGAACCATATCCTGGGTAACACCTGGAGTTACAGGTGATGACATATCACTTTCCACCTGCAATATATACATGTTGAATGAGTAAATAAATAAGATGGGGTTGTTACTGATTACCTGCAATGGATCATCATCTGGTAGCAACTGACTAACATTGACATTTCTCCTTTTGTTGAGCTGTTGGTCGCGCTTGGCTTTCCTCAACTGTACACCTTCTTCCTCTCGTCGCCTGCGTAGCTCAACACTATCCAAAGCAGTGTTCTTGTATCGGTGTTTGTGTCCAGACATCTGGGAACAAGTGCAAGAAAAAAACAATCAGTGATTTGTACCTATGTGAATAACGGAAATCGATAACATTAGGGTTTGATGTTCAAAATGAATCATCAAACTGATATATTGGCCAATCGTGCCAGAAATACAGAAATTGTATAATTATTCGTCATGCACTGTCAAATGGAGAGGGTTGACGATTTCTTGATTACACAAACATTTGAGGCTCTCACAGTAGTGGTGTGTAAATGAGGGGACTTACCTTTATTGAAAGCGTTAGAAAATTGTATCGAAAATGTCTTTATAGCACCATTTACCTTATTTTAAAGGAAAACTATCGTCTGAAAATTCTGAAATGCTATGTGAGTGAAATGATGAATTTCCCAATTTGACAAGAATGACATTGACAACACAAAACGACACTGATGACACTTCAGTGCTGACAATCCGTGAGATAAAAACAGATAACCACCGACCTACACGGGAACCACAAATGAACAACGCTTTCAATTAATTAAAAGTTGGTAGCTCCGTTTGCTCCGAACATGTTCGAACTGACGTCACAAATCAATTCGTGTTCCATGATGAAATTTACAAATTTTCGAAATATCCGCGCATGTTACTAGAAATGCGTCAAGTTGAAAAAAAAATGGGTTCGCCAAAAAGATGAATCAATATACGAAGCTATAGTTTTCAAGAAATAATAAGAATCGTGAACTAGCACACTAAAAATGAAATTAACAACAACCAGATATTCGATCATACTTTCAATACAAACATTGCTGCTGATAACAGACTGGGGCATCAATATATCATCTTTATTTGCGAGAGAAAGCAATGCAGTAATGTTAATACTATTTATGTATGTATACTGATTTCATAATTTATGATGAGTACCATGCAATATTTGTTGACTGTTGATTTTTTCAGAGTTCAAGATGCATGTTTGATATTAGCCCTGTCTGCATTATTGCTCACATTTTTCTCAACCTATGTCTTTCAGGTAAGAATTGATTTATTTTTCATATACATTTATGGTTTAGTGTATGTTTTGCTACAGGAAATGTTACATTAGACTGGATAACAAATCCAATAATTTTCAGACTGGTCTTGTGTACCTCCTATATGAGAGATTTCGAGCAACTCTCCTGGTTTGCATGATGTATTTCATTTTAACCACAGTTGTAAATATTTGGCTGCTTGCTTCCCGCTGGAATGATGTCAGGCACTCCTGGACCAAATCTTTTTCAATAGTGTTCATCATACAGAGGTTTTGTAAGTAAAATCATGTTATTGATATAATCAAGATTCCATAAAGGCAAATAATTTTTTCAGTATCATCAGTCTACTACTATTATTATAAGAGAGCAGCATTGAGAATCAGTGATCCTAGATTTTATGAAGATATTGATGGGGAACCGGAAAAACCCCCACAGACTAATGGAATTATGTCCCAATAATGCTGGATCTAGATGAATATGGTACTGAAATAAAATTTTGAAATTCCTTGACACTTTATTCATTCTTGAATGAATGATCCATAACCTCGGACCCCGAAAACCCCCATATACAAATTTTTAATAGAATCAGATAATGAACTTGTTCGCCATATTGGATCTGCAATTTAAATTTTCCGATTTTGACAATGAAATCATAATCTCTGACACCGAAAACTTCCAGATACAAATTTTGAATAGAATCGGAACATAATTAAAAAATTCTTCCGCCATATTGGATGCGCCATCTTGAATATTCTAATTTTCACAAAGGAATCATAATCTCCGACCCCGAAAACCCCCGAATAACCAATTCATTATCCTATTCCGGACTAATAGAAATGCGAAAAATAAATATTAAATGCATGAGAGACCCTTCAGATTTTTTGCTAATCAGTGACTTGAGGTGACTATGACACGAAATCCAATGTTTTTCTTCACCCAAAAAATTGTTGAACGCGTTCAAGAAGTTTTCACTTCATTAATTTAGTACAACAAAAGTTACAATGTATTTCACGCATGGACTATTTGTTGCGCCCTGTTTTCAGATGGATCAATACAGCTAGTATTGAATTCGAGCATTCTGGTATCACAGAAGACTAAAACGTCAATATCATCCGTGGTCAAGTCACTGCATAGCAAAAAATCTGAAGGGGAACTCCCATGCAGTAATGAATTTGCGCCTTCGAAGTGCCCACCTGATATTAGGTTAGATATTTATTTTGTCATTCTTATTAATCTAAATAATCCGAAACGAGTCCCAAAGGAGGTATTCTAATAATCGATATCTAAGGTACAGACATACAGGGTTTCATGTCTGATGGTTGGATATTTTAGATGAATATGGTACTGAAATAAAATTTTGAAATTCCTTGACACTTTATTTATTCTTTTTTTACATTCATTTCATTTTTTCAAAATGGCTTGTAACTTTTTACATAAAATAAATTCTCTGGGACATGCAAAGGATTGACAGTGACATCCGAATGTGAATAAGAAAATGGATCACCAAACAATAGAAATATGTAATTCATATCAACACAAGTTACAATAAAAGTTTCAACAAAAAGAATGTACACATACAAATTTTTTGTTATTGACAAAAAATTTGATCAATCTAATTACTAAAAATAATAAATATGTAAAAGTTATGAGGCTACCTCACAATAAAAAACTATTTATTACAATAATCCATAGTATGTACAGCGAATCAACAGTCGAAAAATGCTAGTCAGAATTATCGTCTGTTTGCAAAAAAGCAAATTTGTTATTTGCCGCAAAGTTCGGCGGTTCGGGGTCCGCCAATTTCGGCATATCCTTATCATGCCTGCAACATACAGAATTTCAACATGGTCCCTAAAAAATCCACCCTCATTTTACCTTTTCTCTTCTCTTTTGGGTTTATCATCGGGCGATTTCTCTTCATTTCTAGAAACCGGTTTGACATCGTCAACTGCAAAAACAACACAATAACATGTGAATTTCTATCTTCTGAAGTGATAACTTCTTGATTTGTACATTTTTTTGAATTTGTGAATTGAGCTGGAAATTATTATCCAATAACTGAATAGTTTGTGACTTTGTGTTCATTTAATGATCTTCTTGAAGAGTTGAGATTTTGTGAGACCAATTCAACTGAAAATCAATTTCCATTTCAGAAAAGTCGGCAGTAGTTGTGGTAATATGTGGAATAATTAAAATGAAATTGCTCACCTTTCTTCAGTGAAATATGATCAATTTGATATATAGAGAAGTGGACCAAAATTGAAATACTGAACAAAACAAACTCACCATCTTTCCTTGATGATGACCGGTTATCTCTGTTTTGTCTGTTAGAATGAGAGGGCTGATCGTCTATTCTTCTAGGTGGTCTACTACTTCTATCAATCTGCAAGAAGGGAAAAGAAGCATTATTTTTCCATACAATTCTACCAATTTATCCTCCCGTTTGAATATGTAGACTTGCTGAAGCCTGGAATATTTTGTTTACATTTCTGGCAAGTTGAATATCTAGACATACTACACATACTACCCTTTTACTAGGGACCTCATTATACATTCCAATAGAACTGAATCAATGTGATTCGTTAATTAAAAATCATGTTTCATAAAAAAAAAGTTCCGGTCAGCCTTTGGGGATTGCCGATAGAAGTGAAACATAAGTAGTATGTGGATTGTATTGTTGAACTATTTTGATGAATGATTCCCAATCTCCGACCCCGCAAACCCCCCATGTACAAATTTTGAATAGAATCGGATAATGAACTCGTCCGCCATATTGGATCTGCAATTTGAATTTTCCGATTTTGACAATGAAATCGTAATCTCTGACACCGAAAACTTCCAGATACAAATTTTGAATAGAATCGGAACATAATTAAAAAATTTTACCGCCATATTGGATGCGCCATCTTGATTATTCTAATTTTCACGAAGGAATCCAATTCATTATCCTATTCCGGACTAATAGAAATGCAAAAAATAAATATTAAATATCTTATATGCATGAGAGACCCTTCAGATTTTTTGCTAATCAGTGACTTGAAGGTGACGTGAGGTGACTATGACACGAAATCTAATGTTTTTCTTCACCCAAAAAATTGTTGAACGCGTTTAAGAAGTTTTCACTTCATTAATTTAGTACAACAAAAGTTACAATGTATTTCACGCATGGATTATTTGTTGCGCCCTGTTTTTAGATGGACCAATACAGCTAGTATTGAATTCGAGCATTCTGGTATCGCAGAAGACTAAAACGTCAATATCATCCGTGGTCAAGTCACTGCATAGCAAAAAATCTGAAGAGTATCTTCCATGCAGTAATGAATTTGCGCCTTCGAAGTGCCCATCTGATGTTAGGTTAGATATTTATTTTGTCATTCTCATCTAAATAATCCGAAACGAGTCCCAAAGGAAGTATTCTACTAATCGATATCTAAGGTACAGACGTATAGAGTTTCATGTCTGATCGTTGGATATTTTATGTTCGTGGTTGAAATAATGGTCTGGTGCGCGTGATATGAAATCATGATTGTGCAGTAAACAAAACGGGGTCACGAACATTTCTTTACCCTCCGTATTTTATTTTTTTATAAAAAGTATTCCTGTGCTTTCTAATACATCTAAGAATATGTATACAAAGGTTCATGATAATCGGATGAGTAGTTTTGGCGTAAAAGCCCGATAAACAAACTTACATTCACATTAATAATATTAGTAGGGATAGAAATTATATTAAAGCAAGATACATTGAAATAGTATCAACAGTATTGTCACGTGTCGAAATAACAACAAAACTCTTACATGAATGATCTTATACCAGGAATTACTGTCTGATCATTCATGTCATTCCTACTAGAAAATTAATTATACTTTATATATTATTTGTATGAAATGTATCAATGAAGAAGAGAATGTAATGCAATAACTGAAATAAATAAATAAATAAATAAATAAATAAATTAACTGGAAATATGGCAACAACAGATTAATCCAATGGGTCATATTGACGACAAGAATCCGGCCACATATGAACATGTTTGATTAACAATAATTACTTATAATATATATAATAAATAACACTCACACTTTTTTTGTCATCGGCATAGTGCCCCCTCTCCCTCTCCCTGCTGCCCTCCTCCCGCGGCCTCTCCAGCTTCTCCTCGATCTCCCTGTCGCGCTGGCTCGTGTCCACCGGCCGCGCGTTACCGAAAATGGACGCCGAGGGCGTGGCCGCAGCGGGCGCCGCTCCCCACGCCCCGCCTCCCGTCGACGCGGTGGGCGGGGCGTCCGTCTGGGAGACGGGGTCGGTGGTGGGCGGTCGGTCGACCGGTTTTGTGCGCGGCGCCAGCACCAGTCGCGGCCGTTCGCGCGTTTCCGCTGGAAAAACGAGAAGAAGATTCGCGTGTCAAGATTATATTTATTTATTTGGGTTCTCTGTAGGAAAGTCAGTAGAAATAACCTTTTCCGAAAATTATTTTCTAATTTCATTTTAGAATGACTCCTATGTTTAGATTTACTCGTGGGCCTTTCCAGTCATTTCCAGAAAAATATATATCTTGAAATTTCTGGAATACCTTAATAGTTATTTATTATACAAGGGAAAAAAGTAGTAGATTCAGCTACAGGTTGTGTAGTCTCCCGACGCGTAGCGGAAGGAGACAAAAACCCGTGAGCTTAAATCTAATATTTTTTGCCCGTGTATAATATACTATTTTTTTCTGACATGAGAAAGGACGAATCGATATTGAGAAGATATTACATTATTTTGAAATCTGAATATTATTGACGTGAAATTTCAAGTTTTTAACAGTAGGGACACCTGCGTTGTAGGTATCTTTATCATTCTTTTGAAGTAATCAAATATTTGATGTCACTTTTGTCAGTCTAATTCTGTGATTTGATTTTAAAAAATTGCGAATTTAGCGGTTGTTTAGTAATATATGTAACCGCGAAGTCGAATGGAAGATAAAAAGAACTTGAAGTTCTTTCTCGGAGACGGTATTATTGACTCATTTTTCGGAACTATAGCACAACAAAAGCCATCAACAGTGTATATATACATGTGATATATATCCGGGAAAAAAGTACTATCTTTTTTCCCGCGAGAAATTCATGAGAAGTGACATTTTATAACCTGCCAACAGAGATCAAATGCCAAACTTTTTTCCCGTCACAGAAACAATGAATTTTAGTTAGTCAGTGGAAGAATAAAAAATTACATGTAGGCTAATAAAATTAAATCGAAAAAAACCGTTTTGAGGAATTATTTTCCAGCAAACTGGAAATCGTTTTAATACCTCTATTTGGTCCTAAATGCGTGTAATCTGAGTTTGCACCATGTAAGGTGGTGAGCTTAACTTTTGATAGCCAAAAAACCGCCACATTTTTGCACTTTTTTATTTTTTTGCTTATAGCTGCAAAACGGTGCGTCGGACGGAAAATGTTATTCCATTCAATAATACAGAGGACAAAATTCTGCGTCGAATGACATCTGAAAACATCAAATTCTGTTCAGAGGTATAGCCGAAATCGAATGTTAAAAAAAAGAAAATTTCGTAGCTCGGTGCAAACTTACATTTTGTGGCTTTCCAATAGGCACCTATTGCGAAATAGGTATTTTGCACACTGCATGTAAACTATGTGGGATTTTTATATTTCAACCTTTATGGTTTATGGTACCTACTCAATGCAAAAAATCCATGGAATCATTTGTTTCTGAATGTTTAGGTAACAATAATCAAGGCTTTTAAACTCTTTTCAAATTGTGACAAAATATTACACTACCTAATTTTATTCATTATTTACAATGAATTTTGTTTGGCGTTTGTAAAAAAAAATTTGTTTGCAACTCGTGCGCGAAATACTTTGGTGATTTCGACTATTTTTTAACTTGGCTGCGCCTCGTTAAAAAAATCAGCTCTCGATCACCAAAGTAGCATTTCGCGCACTAGATGAAAAATAATTATAAATTGATGCAAAATTTGGGACCGAAGCTGAACCGGGCATTCAGATATCCGGATAATTGGACAAATCAAGAGAACTTGAACATTTGGACATCTATCTATATAACGTAAAATTTTATTCTCTACAACTTTTATTTTATGGGTTTTTTCAATAGGAGTATCTGTTTTCACGATATGTCGTCTTGGAAAGCCGCAAAATGTAAGCTTGCACCGAACTACGAAATTTTCTTCTTTTTTAACATTCGATTTCGGCTATACTTCTGAACGGAATTTGGTGTTTTCAGATGTCATTCGACGCAGAATTTTGTCCTCTGTATTATTGAATAGAATGACATTTTTCGACCGATGAACCATTTTGCAGCTATAAGCAAAAAAATAAAAAAAGTGCAAAAATTTGGCGGTTTTTTGGCTATCAAAAGTTAAGCTCAACTCCTGGAATGGTGCAAACTTAGATTACACGCATTTGGGACCGAATGAAGGTAATTAAATGATTTCCAGCTTGCTGGAAATTAATTCCTCAAAATATAATTATTTGATTGGCCTAATGATCATGGACAAGTTTTCAACTTTTTTGATTATGTTCATATTATTAAAAAAATGTATAATATTATTAATATAGTACGCTGATATATGTATGTTATTTTAAAAATGAATAAATGAATAAAAAAATGCTCAAACAAAAATTGCAAATTTTAGAGTGATTTCTAAAATTGAGACAACTTCAATGAGATATTGTATAAACACAAAGTTCCATGAAAAATCAACGAAAGCCTGTTGTAGTTTGAGAAAAAAGTGTGAAGCTTTTTCAGAAAGCTTCTTCTTCTTCTTCCACAACATAGTTTTTCAAATATTTTCTCGAATTCGCCGTTTCTTATAAAATGGTTGAATATCTGTAGACAAAAAATATTTCCACTTTACTTACAGGGTGGTGCATCTTCTCTCGCCCCCCCCCCTCCTCCTCCTCCTCCTCCTCCCCCTCTTCTGAAACCGTCATCTCGGTCTCGATCTCGCTCTCTATCGCCTTCGTACCGTCGAGGCCCAAAACCGCCGCCTCGCCTATCTTCTCTATCGTCGAATCTGCCACCCCTATCCGAATCCCTATAATTACCCCTATCACGATTGAAACTCGAACCTGGAACATCATCAAAAAATGAAGATAAATTGACCCGCATCAAAATAAAAGTAAAAACACTGAGCTGACAATAAGCCTTTCCAGTCATTTCTAGAAAAAATATATTTCGAAATGTGTGGCTTCAAGTAACCATCATCGATTTAGTTTTTGAACATACGGACCTGGATTTTTTGATTAATTTCTCCATATACCTTTGGATATCCCAAATGCTATGAGCTGTCACACATTCTTATAAGGCCTGTTCGTTTGTGCTTGCTCAACCTGCTAAACTTGATTTTTTTCTATGACTTTCTTTGTTTACATCATGGCATGAACAGAGACAACTATGGGAAAAATATCAACTTTAGCCAGTTTAGCAATACAAACGAACATGCCTAAATATACTCGAAGGCCGGCGTACCTCAGTGCTTCGATGCTTCAATATCGATTCACGTCGAGGTAACGATCGTGGGTTCGAGTCCCACGAACGCAGACTTTTTCTGATGGCCTAAGAAAGTGTTTGGGATCACACGTTAAAAGGTAAGGCCCCCGTCATTCCTTGCTCGCACAAGACTTTCGAAGACTTCTGAGGGTTGCTCGTAAGGGGGCAACCGAATGACGGATAGAACAATTTTAGAACAATGTGTTTTTCATAGAAATTGACAGTTTTGTATTGAATATTGATAATGGTAGATTTTTCAATCATGTTTACCATCAATCAAACAACAAAATAAAAAAGGGATTTTTCTCGATGATTTTTAGATGTTCTGGAAGAGAATTCCTCATCAGGAATATTTTTCCAACAAAAACTGAAAAATCAATTCATCGTATGAAAAATGATTGAAAATGCCAAAATGAACCAGGGAATCCAAACGATTAGACATGGCCACGAAACATGTGACGTCAGTGCCACAACAATTTGGATTCGTAATGCCCTCACCTTCTCGCGGGTGCCAATAAAATGCACAATGGACTTGGCAATGATGCCAATTTGGACAGAAAGCTATGATACAAAGTCGGATATTCATTTCTCGATTTCATCATTTCAGCAAATAATACATATGCTGTAAGATAACTCAATAATACCTACCTGATAATTACTGGTACTGAAAAATTGCAAGTGTACTTTCATTTTGTATTGAATTACAGTGCAGATATTCGTGACATTCAGATTCTAATCCCTTCCAGTAAAGTAAATTTTCAATTTTTGGATGTATCAAAGAATTGATAATTCCATCACATAGAAAGATTTCAACCACAGATACTAGGAACAAAAATAGTACAGATACATTGATGAAATCAGCTCTTCAATAAACATCTAAAAATGCAATAATATACAGGGTGTTCGAATTCGAATTAGCAAAGTTGCTAGTTGTTTCTGATAGAAGTGGCAACACTGTATCGATGAAAATATTTTAGCCGGATAGAGAATGCTCAATTATCAAAGCATCCCAATTTTCAGAATGTTCTGTCTTTTCGTTATCCAGATACTTCTAATAGGCCATCCACCGTGGATCACCCTGTACACATGTAATTGATATTCCATGACAAAATGTAGATTTTACTTGATTCAATAAATGAATAAATAATAAACCGCAGGAAAGATCACGTCCTCGAAAAAAAAAATTTATCAAAACAAAAGAGTATAGTGGGGGTTCAAAATACAGGGTGTCCCATAATTAGCGTGCAATTCTTTACCAGCAGATTGAACGATCAAAAATAAAAAAAGTTCCTGTAAACATAGGTCGAACAATGTTTCGTAAGCGAGCTACAGCCCCCTGAAAGTGGTACCCTGAAGATGGTTTTCATTCAATATCTTTGAAGCTGTTGATAGGAGAATTATAAGATTTTGAAAGTCGGACAATCTTTTTATGCCTAATAATATGCGATAATAATAATTTCAAAATTCCATCTATAAATGGGTCAAACTGTGGAGGGTGGGGGTAAAATCACCCCAAATTTTTCAAGTGCGGTTTTTTCGCAAATTCAGCATGAAATTATGAAACTTTGAAGCCTTTTGCATAAAAAAGTTCCTCTAGTTCAACTTCGATAAGAAGCACCGTTCTCGAGTAAAATCGATTTGAAAATTCAAATGTCACAAAAATTCATAATAAAATTAGAAAAATTCGAAATTTGAGCGTAGGCTATGGAACATGACCACAATGTTTGGAACAAAACAATCGGGACAGGTGACAGATACTTGACAGGAGGTTTGAGAGTTGTGTGAAGTAATTTTCGATTTGATTTTACTCGAGAACGGTGCTTCCTATCGAAGTTAAACAAGTGAAACTTTTTTATGCAAAAGGCTTCAAAGTTTCATAATTTCATGCTGAAGTTGCAAAAAAACCGCACTTGAAAAAGTTGGGGTGATTTTACCCACACCCCCGACAGTTTGACCCATTTCTAGATGGAAGTTTGAAATTATTATCATCGTATATTATTAGATTTGCACGATAATTATGGGATACCCTGTATAGAAGACCCTGTACTCGCCTCGGTCCCTATCTTGGTCCCTACTGGGCCCGTCCCGCCATGCCCCCGGCCTGTCGTCGCTCCTGTTACCCTCCCTATCGCCCCTCTCGCTGAAACCACCGCCACCCCTATTGTCCCTAGAAAAACCGCCCCTGTCGCCGCCGTCCCTGTCCCCGCTGCGCATGTTGTCCCTGGTGAAGGCGCCCCTGTCGCTGTCGCCGCCCCTCATATTGTCCCTGGTGAAGCTGCCCCTATCGCTTTCGCCGCCCCTCATGTTGTCTCTGGTGAAGGGCCCGCCTCCGCCTAGAAAGAGAAAAAAAAATAGGTTGGGAGATTCGGAATGGGTTGCGTGCAAGAACTGTCAGATGACCGACCCTGGAGGCACAACATTGAAACACAACCTCACTTTTCTTATTTGATTACAAGTGATTGAAACAGTTTTTCACAATTATGTTGGCATACGAACGGTACCATCGAGATTAGATGGCCAGCAGACTCTGACGTAAACAGCTCGTGACGTCACCTAAGAGAGGCCAGTGTTTTACCGCTTGTCGACTAACGCGTCAGTTCCTGTAAATTCATCGGTGACTCACGTGTGTTTTTGAAGCGGTCCCGAATTCTTTTGTTGTTTATTCATCAATATAATTGGCGGAAGAATTACTTTTTTGTGAAATATTTTGTGTTGTGATAGGCGAAATAACAATACCTTCTAAGTGTTGTGTTCCCTTTTGTCGGGGGAATAATGTGGGTGGTCCAAAAGTTCATGCTTTTAGTTTCCCGTTAACGAGGAGCTATCGAAAAAGTGGGTATAAGCAATTCACAGCGAGGATTTTACTCCATCTTAAGTACAGTAGTAAACAGCTCAATTTATAATGATGAATTAATAATAGAAGACAATTACTCTCGCATAAAAAATATCTGATGTCACTTCTGTCAGTCTAATTCTGTGATTTGATTTCAAAAAATTGCGCATTTAGTGGTTGTTTAGTAATTAATATACATAACCGTGAAGTCTAATGGAAGATAAAAGTACTTGCAGTTCTTTCTCGGAGACGGTATTATTGACTAATTTTTCGGAACTATAGCACAACAAAAGCCATCAACTGTGTATATACAGGGTGATTCACATAAGAACCGACATAGAGCAGGGGCATGTAGGAGGTCCCAAAATATGGCAATTTAACGCAACTTACCTCTATACCAAGTTGCTTCCTTAAGGAGTTATAGGCTTTGAAAGTGAAGTTATAAATTTTGAAAAAAAATCAATATCTCCGTTATTCTTGAACTTAAAGCAACCAAAGTTGGTACACTTTGTGGATGTATTTAGGGCGTTACTTGACAGTAACTAGAGCTTAATTGAAATTTGTAAAGGGGGTATACCGGGTGACGCACCATTAATATCCAACAGAATTTTGTTAACCCTCGATGGATTTCAGAAATATTTGCTCCGTTGTGTGGGCAATTCAATTCTAAAACTTTTCTTAGTCCAGTAATTTTTCGAAAAACCTCATCATTTTCATCAAAAACTCGAATAACTGAAAACGCGCGCTCTAGGTGTGTTATTTAAAATCATCGAAAATTCAAAAGTTAGCGATGAAAATAAACGTACAACAAGAAGGTAGGTCATCAATTGTAATCAGTGGAAATTGGCTGGCAAATTATTATTTAGATACGTAACAAAATACGTAAAGTAAGGACAAATACTGAAATGTGAAAAACTGGGATTAACAACTAACCAAAATAAACACAAAAAACTTAAACAACAACCAGAACATACAATTGTTCATCGATAAAATACTCAATTGAACAACTTAGTTGCTTCATTGTCAAGTTTGACGTTTATTCTCATAGCCAACTTTTGAATTTTCGATGATTTTAAATAACACACCTAGAGCACGCGTTTTCAGTTATTCGAGTTTTTGATGAAAATTATGAGGTTTTTCGAAAAATTACTGGAGTAAATTGCCCACGAAACAAAGCAAAGATTTTTGAAATCCATCAAGGGTTAACAAAATTCTGTTGAATATTATTGGTGCGCCACCCGGTACACCCCCTTTACAAATTTCGATTGAACTCTAGTTACTGTCAAGTAACGCCCTGAATACACCCACAAAGTGTATCAAATTTGGTTGCTTTAGGTTCAAGAATAACAGAGATATTGATTTTTTTCAAAATTTATAACTTCACTTTCAAAGCCTATAACTCCTCAGGGAAGCAACTTTTGGTATAGAGGTAAGTTGCGTTAAATTGCCATTGTTTGGGACCCCCTACATGCCCCTGCTCTATGTCGGTTCTTATGTGAATCACCCTGTATAATATGTGATATATATCCGGGAAAAAAGTACACACTTTCTTCCCACGGGAAAAAAGTAATTTATGAAAAGTGACATTTTATAACCTGCCAACAGAGATTAAATACCAAACTCTTTTCACGTCACAGAAAAAACTAAATGAATTGAAAAAATAAAATGAATAGAATAAATATAATGAATAACATATATAAAATAATTAAAATGAATAAAATGTATAAAATGTATAAAATGAACGAATAAAATGAATAAATTTTATAAAAATTATAAGTAAATTGAATAAATGAAAGGAATGAATAAAACATCATAGTGAATTCAGACCCTGGAGAACGAGAAGAGACGCATACCTCCTTCTCTGTCTCTGCCGAATCCGCCCTGCCTCCTGTCGCCGCCGTCCCTCTCCGAGGCATCTGGGGCTCGGCCGCCCGAACGCCAATCGCCGAAGGCGTCCGACCTACCCTCGCCGCCCCTGCCCATGTCCATGCGGCCGCCCCGCCGGCGGTCGTTCTCCGTGTTCGACGCCACTTCGATTCGCATCCGGCGGCTTTTGAGGGTCTAAAAACGAAAGACGCAAAAATAATACTTCCAATCATTTCCTCATGACTTTTTATTTCAGAATTTGCGATTCTGACATTTTTTCTCAGAAATTCGATAAAGTTAGAATTCTGATTCACAATATTGACACTTATCTTAATTAAAATTACTCTATATCTCAGCATTCTCAGTTGTATGTCAGATATTTTGACCTATTTCAAAATTCAGACTTAATATCTTGACTGCTCAATCTCATAACTAAGAGATCTCATCAGCCACTCTCGGTCTGCTGACAACTGGGACAACTCTACGCTTCGGGTATATCACCCATTTAGAAGACGCAGGGTATAACATGAAGTTGTAGTCATGTTGTAGCCATCTTGTGGCAAAGCTCTAAGGTAGGATACAGATATCGCGACACACACTGTATGGCGCTGCCATCTATGGTCACACGTACAGACCCCTACGTCTATACGCTACGGAGTGGTACTACAAGTAAATCACTCTGCTGACAGATGGCACTACCTGACATATTTGAATGGAATTTTTCCACCACCTATTCAACTCAATATCTTGAAATAATTTTCACTTAAAACTCGAAATTCTGACTATTTATCTAGAATTTCAAAGTAAATGAATTCTAATACACAAAGTCGAAATTATGCAGAATTCTTAGTCGTAGGTATGCATAGAAATCATATTATTTAAGGTGTCCCAGAACAACGTACCATAAATTTTACAGGATGAACCAAAATATGCCTGTGCATTTTTGTATGAAAGTAAATTGAATCCAATTGGCCTATTTTGGTCTCTAGTTCACCCTTTAGAATTTATGTTACTTTATTCTGGGATACCTTGTATATATGTTGTATTTCACAATTCTGGTACATTAAACTTGAAATAATTTGAACTTAATTACAAGTACTCAACATTATAGTCATGATACTTATCTCAGAATTCGGCATTTGAAGGGTGTGAAGTATCAAATATTAATCAAGATATTGAAAAGATGTTAGAGAACATAACAGGAGGAACCCATGATATTATAGTGCAATCTTGACTTTCTCGAGCAACCAGCATGTCCAAATATATCTTATTCTCCACAAAATATCATGTAAATGTTAGAAACTAGGCAACATTCTGCTGAATCCTGAGAACTGACAAGACCACACCCACAAGTCGTGTACCGTGTTGTCACGTTCACCGATTCAAATGTCCTCTTGTGTGGATTATTATAATTATTATGTAGCCAAATTAATCTTAAGAAATAAGCCACATCATAAGGAAACATTTGTTGACATTTAAATGTTTATTGCTAATTAGGGATATTACCAATACTCAATAGAGAATTTATGAATAACTGATATTTCTGAAGTTCCCAATCGTATTTCAACACATGGCAACTATGCTATGGTCTGCCCTTAAACATACTGACCAAGTGGGGTCATCTTAACTGACATACACTGCTTGCCAACATTGATGAACCACTCACATTTCCGTGAAATGATATTAGGAGGCAATATAGATTGACAATCACTTCCGATTCGAAATCAGGACGTCCAATTCACTATTGTTTTTCCTGTGAAATTTTCTTACTATTCATGGAACCGTATTTGACGGTTATTATTGAGGTAGGGTCCTGAAATTTGCAGGAGAAAGGAATTGTTCAAATATAAAATCAATCACGTAAGAAACGGGGGTGCTTCAATAAAAAGTGTGACAAAATTTAATTACTCAGAACTGACGATTTTTCTGAAAAAATATGAATAGTTAGTGAATTGGATGTCCTAATTATGAATTCAAAGTGATTTGCAACATATCTTGCCTCCTAATATAATTTTCCTTACATGTCGGTGGTTGCATGGCAGTTGGTGAGCAGTTTATATCAGTTAAGATGATTTTACTTGGTCCTAGAGTGCATTTTCAGCATTTCTCCCGATCCTGTAAATTTCAAAATCCTGGTTATAAAAATTTCTGAGTTTAATGTCTGAATTCTGAACTACAAGTTTGAGTTCTGAGTCATATAATAGATTTCATAGTTGAATCAGAATTATAACATACATATAACTGAAAATTTTGACTTAGAAGACGAAATTTCAACTTGTACCTGATGTGAATTCAAAGTTTTTGTCTGGAACAAAGTCAGAAATTCAAAAACATCCTGGAATTCTAACTTACAATTCTTTTTTTATCTCTTGGAGTGCATGAAAGGGAATCCATCGTGCGTATATAGAGAGGATAGGGAGAGTAGGTAGGCATTGGAATTTTCTTTGAACTTGTGGAGATTATAATTTGTTGAATTAAAACTAAAATAAAACTCAGAATTCTGATATTCAATCAAGAATGTTCAGTTCAGATAAAACTGCGGAAATGAAAGTAAATATTCACAAAATTCACAATCACTTAGGGAGCCTATTGAAATCCAATAATATCATCTAGATCTAGATAGTACTTACTGGATCACGTAGCACTAAAGCTTCCAAAAGGCTTTCCCTATCTTCAAATTCAACATATCCATATCCTTTGGATTTTGATTCACCAGTTCTGTCATCCTTTGGAATCCTCATATTAGCTATCTGCAAACACAAAAATAAAAGAACCATCAAGTCATCCATCATCACAATCCTCCGGAAAACTGACCCTCATATCTTTGAAAAAATCCGCAATCTCATCCTCGTCGACGTCATAGGGCAAATTCGACAGGTACGCCACGAAAGGCGGGTCTTTGGGCACCTTATCGCTGACGTCATCGAAATCCCTCGACGCTTTTGGCGCAGTCGGTAGGACAACGTTGACCGGCTTCTTAGCCTCATATCCATCTAGAACACAGGCACCAGGATAACGAACGGTTCGAGGAGTTGAAGGGAGTTAGCTAGTGGGGATTTTTAATCAGAATTTTGGCTGACTAGAGGGAATGCCGGTCCGCAACAGACTAGTCTGAATTGAGTTCTGGGCCGGTGCGGCCCAGCCCGCAAATTGTACTCAAAGAGCCGGCCGCGGGAGATTCCAATCGGCTCGGCGCATCACCTATGCCTCGGCAATACTCGGCTGCGACGCTTCGCCGACATGTTTCTGGTTCTCCCGCCGCGCGTTGCCGCGCGCCCCCTGCTAGAGGGTCGACGGCCTTTCTCAGACCTTCCCGTAGCCAAGGGAGAAGGGTGTAACGGGTACACTGTGCGAGGGCGCCAGGTGCGGGATTGTCGCGGACCGGTTTTTCCCTCTCTGTCGAGGTGCCATATCATCATGAACGGTAATAGGGAGAGGTGCATTTGGAAGAATACAAAATTGGCACTTATCCTCAGAGCATGAATTATTGCCGGAATGTTTCTGAGTACATAAATTTTCTATAAAAATTCATGTATCAGCCAAATTTCCCGCACGTGGGGGATTCTGTTAGAAAATTTTACACAGGAATTATCCACAATTAAATAGAAGGCTGTGTGTAATGCATATCATATAGGGGATTTTTTATTACTCTTCCCTTGCCTTGGTAGAATTCAAAAAATATATCAGATAAATTATTATATAAATTCAATTGATTTCATACAATTTTCTAAGGTACTAGTTTTCAGGGAAATGTCAATATTGAACCAAATTAAAGTTGATGTTCGTATTGCTGGAGGTATTTTATTGGTATATGGAATATGTTTACATAAAATTGATTGTTTTCCTAGTCCTAGTAATATAAAATATGTAATATCAGAAACATGTTTATATAAAATTGATTGTTTTCATACAATTTTCTTGCTAGGTGTTTACGAATGAGTACTTGGTATGGTTTACCGCCAGCAATGGAAAGACTAATCGAGCTGGCCGAAGGGCTGCTTCACCACCAGTATTAAGGGGGGTTGAGTGGACTGTATTTTGGGGGAAATTTCACACTATCGCGTATAGCCTTAGCGTTTTGTTTGGGCGCAAGATTTTCGTGTTTTTTTTCAAATCGAGTCCGGTCTCTCGCGGTACCGTATGAGTTTTTGCCGTATTCCCCCGTTTTCTCGATGGCGTCGATTGCTTACAAAGCTGGACGGATATACATTCGAAGCCAAAAGTTAGGGTCCGGATTATATTGGATATTATTGAGTGAATTTGTCTTCATAGGTTTAGAGAATCTTATTGTATGAATTATTATGTCTAGGTATATTTATACTAAAAACTAAACTAAACGAAAGTATTTTGGGGTTTTAACACTAGGTTTCAGGGAAATGTCCATTTTGACTAAATATGAAATTGGATGTTCATCTTGAGGGAGACGTCTTTCAATTTTTCCCTTGCTCTAGTTAATAACTGTTATACACCAAGGTAGTAAAGATTATACAAGGGAAAAAAGTAGTAGATTTTAGCTCCAGGTTGTGTTGTCTCCCGACGCGTAGCAGAGGGAGAAAAAAAAACGTGACCTAAAATCTGATATTTTTCCCGTGTATAATACACTATTTTTTTCTGTGACAGAAGAAAGGACGAATCAATATTGAGAAGATATTACATTATTTTGAAATCTGAAAATTATTGACGTGGAATTTCAAGTTTTTAACAGTAGGGACACCAGGGGCCCGATTCTCGAATCTGTAGGAATTCGATCCTATAGGAGAATGATCCAATGCTTTCAGTTCTCATAGGAAATGATAATTTATCATGACACCTATTCTTGAACCAGATGGAATCGTTTTTCCCAGGGGAATAAAAAAGTGCCGTATGTCTCAGATAGATTCTTGAACTTACATGAATTCACCAATGAAATAAGTGGAAATCATGTTGGTAACTAGTGGATGATTGAAATGAAATGTTGACATTTTGATTCATTTTGAGGTTATAGAATAATATAATAATTTTGCGACTGTGAGATTATTGTGTATTGTATATTTACTTTATTTCTTCTGATCGAAATGGATATGGATACAAACACTATTAAAAAACCACATGGTGGTAGTATTAGCAAAGAGCAGACAATAAGACAATTAATAGAAATAATGGAGGCCTCTGAGGACTTGAGGAAAGGAAAATGTCACCCCCAATTCACTTACAAGGATTCTAAAGTACCTATCAATTTTCTATAGTAAAGTCTTTGAACAAACGAAAAACTTTAATGAATTGTGCAGCAGACAAACACTCATCAATTGGTCCCTTCTACGCAGAAACCTTCCTCTTAGTTTTCTAGCAAGGATATCAGCCACTTCCAAATTTTATGAAGCCTCTATAGATGATCTATCTTATCTATGTTTGCCATGTTTTGCAATACATATGTTTTTCTGATTTCTCACTAAGGTTTAGTTTCCATCAAAAATGAGAATAACTTCGTATTTCATGATTGTATCCTATGGGAAACATGTTGTTCCCGTGGGTATTACCATGGGAAGCAGTTCCCTTGAAATGTGTAGGAATAGTTTCCCATACAATAGTTCAAGAATACATCATCTCAAATTTCCATGGGAAATATCGAGTTTTTCCCATGGGAACGAATTCCAACGGATTCGAGAATCGGGCCCCTGCTTTGTAGGCATCTTTATCATTCTTTTGAAGTGATCAAATATCTGATGTCACTTCTGTCAGTCTAATTCTGTGATTTGACTCAAAAAAAATTGTGAATTTAGAGGTTGTTTAGTAATATACGTAACCGCGAAGCCGAATGGAAGATAAAATTACTCGCAGTTCTTTCTCGGAGACGGTATTATTGACTCATTTATCGGAACTATAGCACAACAAAAGCTATTAACAGTGTATATATATGATATATCCGGGAAAAAAGTAATCACTTTTTTCCCACGGCAAAAAAGTAATTGATGAAAAGTGACATTTTATAACCTGCCAACAGAGATGAAATGCCAAACTTTTTTCCCGTCACAGAAAAAACTATTTTTATTGAAAAACTGGCAGAGATGTCAAAAAATGCCTTCTTTGTTGCCATGGCATTTCTGTTGTTGTGTCCACAGCCATCTAAATGTGATTGGCAGCTTTGATTCAATGCTAAATAAGTGAAAAGTGGATTGAGGAAACATTAGCAAACAACTACATAATATACAGGCGTATTCAGGTGCCATTTAATAACCTGCCAACAGGGATGAAATGCTAAACTTTTTTCCCGTCACAGAAAAATAGTTATTATACAAGGGAAAAAAGTAGTAGATTTTAGCTCCAGGTTGTGTTGTCTCCCGACGCGTCAAAAATATCTCTATTAAACGGATAAAATTTGTCTCATCCTGTATAAAACATAATCACTGAACAGCCGTTTATTTTTCGAAAGGAGCATGAGTATGAGATAATTGGCGATAGTCAAGGTCATCATCGGACATTATGATAACATGAAAATTACAGGAAAATATTCCCAACTCCTGGCTTAGATTGAAAGTTGGACATGTTTTACACCCTAGTTTTCATGTCATCGCAATGTCAGATGATGACCTTGAATACCGCGATTTTGATTTGCATGAATAGCATTGATACCATAGCAACTGTTTCAATATTTTTTTTTTCAAACTTTCAAGGTCAAACTCCATAAGGAAATGCAGTTGCAATTTTTTTCATGAAGTACTGATATTTTGGCTCACTCATCAGCCACATCATTTACAACATAACCTTTCCGGACACTCTGTATGATAGCTATCATGTGCTGGGAAATGTCAACTTGTTAATTGCAGCCTATATGAAAAATGTTCAGAAAATTTGCTGATTCCCATAGTAACAATGTGGAAGTAAAGCATCTGATTGGTTGAAAATGTCTGGTAAAAACTGTTCACAAAAATGCCAGAAGTATGTCAATATTAGTGAAGAAAAAATGAATAAACATAATTTTAAAATACTTGAAGTAAAGAAGTCATCGTTTTTTTTACTTTAGAAAGGTAACCATATCCTGAATTTTAATAATTATTTAAAAAATGTACAGATCTCCAAGGAGATAACAGTTTGTGGGATTGAAGAAGTTGTGGTTGATACTTGCAGCTCTTTGATGCACAAGTGAAGCAAGGGCAGCTGGTAGCTGAGAGCTGCTGAAGTGTTTTCTGCATGCAACTGTTTTTCACAAAAAATAATATGGAAAATACAACATAAATCTTTGATTTTTTAATTGAACCTGCCATTACTTGATGAAAATCTATAGTAAATGTAAAAACTTCACAAACCAAAAGATTTCCACAAAATTCTTAATATTAGGACATGTTTTGCTAACACAGTAGCTTATTCAAATGAAATACTTCTACAATAAACTCAGTTTATTGTAAAAGTTCCACCACAGAAGACTTTCCCTGCACTCACTAGAAAATTATGGAAATAAATATAAAATAATTTTTGGTAATTAGATGGTAATTCAAGGAAGTGTTATAAAATGAAAGTTCATTTGTTTGTCACTGTTTTGAATGATCCAACATCTCAATAAACAACAGTCAATGCATGTATTGACAAATATGCATGTTTTTCCATTTGCATATGGATAATAAATGAATGCAGGTACCCCATAAAACATTACATTATTCCTCAAGTGGAATATTATTCTACCATTTACATATATTCCAACTCATATTTAGTATCATTAAATCTGAATGGATCTCAAACATAGGTACTCCAATAATGAGTAAATTAAGATAAATAAATTCCATTATAAAATTCATCAATTTGAAGCAAGAGCAAAGTGGTTGCTAGGTCATCTTATCTGATTCTTAATTTTTCAAATGATATGAATGTCATTACCTAGATAAGCAAATTTTACTTCATTACAATCCTATCATATGAAAAGTCCCATATAAAATATTTAAATAGCAAATCTACTGAGGGTCGGTTTATCAATTGCCAATATTATCCATCAGTTAGTTATCCGTCAGATAAAAATATCTAGCAGATAAACTTCCAGTTTGTTTGGAAGTGGTTTATCAACTCATTTTTATTCTCCAGTTAATCAACTGCCAGATAATGAAAGTTGGCAATGCTGATGAATAAATGTAAGCAATCTCATTGGTTGTTACAAGAACAAGGTCATGTCACATCACGAGTAGTCACGACCGTTTTGTTAGGTTATTGTTGATGTTGATTGTTTTCGAGGTTTTCGAGGCTGCTTGGAGTTACGAGGCTACAAAAAATCAACTACTCATTATGTACTTTAAAGAAAACTGAACCTTTCTTACAGTGCCACTACTGCAGCTATTAAAGGCTGCTTCAACCTGCACCCAAGCCTCATCTGTTTTTTTATTTTCAATCACACGTTTGTATTGATTCGCTATTTTAATCAGCAAATTTTTCTCCTCTGCTGTGAAATTGCATCCTCTTTTCTTTGTAGAACTACTAGTACTCTCCATTTTCAACTTTTTTGTCACACCAGAAAGCTAGGAAATCAAAACAACTCAATAAAGTGAGGTTATGTATAGGCATTAACCTCCAGATATCGACTATCCGCCAGTTAAAACTTACAGATAAATATTTGACATTTTAACTGCCGGATAAAGTTACCCTGGTGTAGATAAACCGACCTTTCCAAAAAAACTGGTAGTTAAGCTTTAACTGACAGATAAATTGTAATTGATAAACCGGCCCTCATTCATCTAATCTTTTATTCATCAGGAACAATTAATTATACCAATTTCATACATTTGGGGACAAGTAAATCAAGCCAAAGTCCAAAGTGATATTCACAAAATATGTAGGTACTGAGCATCCCAACTACACATAAAAACAAAAAAATAATATATTACCATTATCTTCCACTTCTTCAGCCCAGTTGAAGGTAGCTTTTCTGATCGGTTGGATAGGAATGGATCCTGTAGTTTCTTGCAAAAAATCCGTCAACGCCAAAGTTTTACCTTTGGTTTTCTTCCCTTTTTTACCTTCAAACGAAAATTAATTTGAAAAACCGAGGATTTATAAGCTAGAAACACATGCCAACACACGAGGGAAAATTGAGGTTCAAAATCACTACAATAATCTAAAGCAATACTTTATTTCTAAAGGTAAGTGATTAAATGAATCAAATATGTACGAATTGAAAAAATATCGATGTTCAGCAGTCGAAAGACGAGCAGTTAATCAAAAATATGAAATGAGAAAACCAACCTGATGCCATATTAACACAAGAAATAAATGGCAGATTTTCGACGTGTATGGGAGGAATTTCCGGCGTTGTTCATATTTGACGTTAATTCAGAAATACCAACATGCAACATGATAACATGAATGCAATGCACAGATCCACAGAACAGCAAATTTCCAGTTTTGATTTGCACCACTCTGCACCGCGAGCGAAGTTCGACGGATCAGAACCAGGGTTGCACAATAGAACAGCAATACGTTTTGTGGTGATCACAGAACAGTAGGAATATTTTGTTGGCAATAGGCCCTTTCTTTTGTATGAAAAGTGTAGCGCATTCGTACACCTCGTGTGATTTACACTGTATTTAAGCATTCTTTTGAGAAGTACATTTCACAACAGTGTAGTTTTTCTTCACCTGGTCTTGGGCAGGTCTAAATTACACTCGAATTAGAGAATTACTAAAATACATGTGTGATTATATTCATAACACATATACACCTATACTGGGGAATCAGTTACATCAGATATCAAATTGAAATTGCACTTTTCCTTTTCAATAATTTTTTTTTCATTCATTTGAAATTCTTTGGTGTAGCTGCACGAAATATCAGCTGATTCATAGTGTAAGTGTAATGCATTTTACACTACACTGAAAATCAGATGAAACAATGACGGCTAAATAAATCCAGATATTTAGCCGTCATTGGACGAAAGGAGCTCGTGTGTTCGTGACCACTGATTTATAGTAAACACTGGAATGAATGCCTAAAGTTTTTAACGGCGTCCACCTGAGGGCAGCACATAAGAGAACATAGTACAGTGACTGCTTGAGTATTGCCCTCTCTTTTCTTGTCACTGAGTTATCTTTACTTCAATCAATTGATTACACTAATATTTCAATCAACGCTTCAATAGTAGTTTTAAAGTTTCAACAAGAGCGAGTATTTGAAATAACTGGTCTTACAAAATTGTATCTTTATTCCCCTCAATTTTCGGCACTACACAGTTGAATAACGTCAGTAACGTAGGTAAAAGTACACAATTTAGAATACATTTCATTTATTTTGCTTGCTATTCAGGAGATATTTTTTGTGCCTGCCAAAAAACTGCCACAAACAAACATCTATTCTTCAAATCCATACTACTAGAAATGTTAACAAATCCTTAAAGATATGAATAATTTAATATTATACATTTACAACTACCTACATTTAAAACAGACTGTCTAGCGTCTACAACACACACGATTCAATAGTATGTCTCTTTTCGATACCATCCGTCCGGGTTTTTCCTGATGTGCCATTTCCTGAATTCGTCAAAGGCGAAGATGAAAATAGCAAATGGAAGCGAGTAACACCACCTGAAAAATCAAATATTGGTTATTGGCATCTCATATTAATTCATACAGGGTGATTCATTTGGGAAATGCGCATACAGTAAGTGTAGATGGAGGACACGACCGAGGTATTTCTGAATAATCATTATTTCATGGGTCTATCATTCTTTATAACGAAGATACAGGGTGATTTATTGATTTCCCCTATTTGTTCAATTAATCATAACTTATATGAACCACACTACACATTTTTTTGATATTTGGTTTATATGTTCTTTGTTCACAGTATGGTGACGATTGGCATAATAAAAAGTCTTATTCCAGTGCTGGCCTTGAAAAAATTAATAAGTAGGCTTCAAGTCGAAATAAACAACCTGTATATCAATATTTTGGAAGCTCATTCACAAATTTTGAAAGAGCAGGAAAACATTAGTGAGACTGATGAATGTATTTGGTGTTTCCGCATACAACTGTACCGTTCTACCTATCAACTTGAGTCAAATCTAGAGGTTTCAATAATGAGATTTGACACAAGTTAATAGGTGGGAAAGTTGTATGCGGAAGTTGTATTCAAAATAAATTAAATTTTCCGGTGCTGCATCGAAAAACCGAAATCGGCTTACTTTAGCGGATTTTCACGGCAGTATATTTTGGTTCAAAAATGTTCAGAAAATTATTTCCTCAATGAATAAAGTAACAAACTACACTTAGAAAAAAGTTATGGCCATTTTAAACCATAAGAAGTGCATTGGTAACCGCCCGCCTCTTAAAGCCACAGTGAAAAGGTGTCCGCATTCGTGTTTCGCATCCCAAAAAAACACCAAATATAAATTTTTGGGGTAATACGTTCAAAAAATGTTCGTGAATTCTGAGAAATTCGATTTTTTTATTTAGCTTTACCACCCTATATCTCGGAAACGGAGCATTTTCGGACTGAGGTAAGTTGCTTCAAATCAGCTCATTTCAACCTCAGGAATATGTGCTGACATTTTGCACAGAGCTTTCAAGGACACCCTGTATATATCACTTCGTTTTAGATGAAAGCACTTTTCAAATCGAAAATATCAAATCACGGACATCTACGAGATGTCCACCATCAGCCTATGTTTAAGAATTCATGAGGGTAAAAAAAGGTTACATATTTCATTATGAAAATGTTAGAAAACATTTTATGGGGACCCATCAATAACTCACCATCTGAATAGCACCGGATAAAACTTCAAATAGCTCATTTTCGGGATGTACGATAACATACAAGCGACGACTGTTTCCACGACTAAACTGACATTCAGAACCATATTTCCCATTCCTACCAAAAAAATAAGATTATTTTCAAGGATTAGATATTTTGTATTGTAAGGTTGGCTACAAATGTCAAATGCAAACAGAATCGGCATGGCGTCAATGTACAAATCATTGTTTTTCTACAGGATCGCAAATTGCTGAATTGTTAATTGTAATATTTGTAATAGATGAAAGGTAAATCAGTTTGTTACCTTGCTTATAGATAGAATTGATTCTAGTTTTGCAGACGATCAGATCTGCCCATTGAGTAACCACAACAGAAATCATGAAGGCGGTGTAGCAAGTGTATTCCAGTTCTTTCCTATGTTCGTAAGTCCATTCCTGCCCATAAGAATCTACCAAATCGTTCACTGATTCCGCGTCCCAATCAGAACGGAGACCTAGAAAAAATGCATCGTTGCGAATCAACAGGATTGGCATAATTTTTTTCGTGTTATTCTGCTTCGGAGAAATGGCGAATTTAATGAACCACAATTTTTGGAGCGTTCAATAGTTCCGGTAGGTAGAAAATTACAAGATTTGAAAGAGAAAACAAGATAGGTACCTATACTTTTTCGTTGTTGACCGTTTCACCGTTTCCGAGTTAATAATTATTTGCGTTCGCAAAAATGCTAACCTTTCATACAAATTATATGGAAATTTACATTTGGGTGTTTCAAACCATGAGGAACAATATTATATGGTGTTTGTATTTATCCTTAGTGAAAATCTATTCTCTGTCTCTCTCTACATTTGGGTTCTATTGGACAGTTGACATTTGTCACTGTCATATGTATCTTGTCATCACAGAACTTGCGTTTTGCGTTATGTGGATTGCTAACAACGCCACTTGTCCTCCATCATCTGATGATGTATAGGTTTGTTTTCGAGTAATTATTTGACTCCACCGTTTTTTCGGTTTTTCCAAAGATGGGTTTTGCCATTAAATCTTGATCATGTACGCCCCTTTACAATGAAGAACCTTGTATTGAAAAGGTTGATAATGAATGGAAAATCTTCTGGAACATAAAATTACCAACGCCGAAAACTTCAACTTCATCACGTCAAATATTTTTCGAATTCAGCACTACCAATCAAATTGCATGACGTGCGACTCGTAAAGCAAAAACGCGCCATTGGGAACTAACAAGAGCTTGGTAATGGAAACATAACAACTTGTCTCACCGAACAGCCGGCCCGGCATGAACCCGTTCTCGGCCATGATGGCGAAGTAGACGAAGAAGCCGCCGAGCGCCTCGACCATGCCGATGTGGCCGTACGCCAGGAAGTAAAGCTTGCCGGTGACCAGCTTGTCCTTCTTGGGGTTCCGAGGGGGCCGCATCATGATGTCGCTCTCGGCCCGCTCGTACGCCAGACTGATGGCCGGCATCATGTCCGTGAGCAGGTCGATGCACAAGATGGCCATGACACCTACAAAAAGAAAAACAAAAGATTTTGATAAATGAAGAAACAAAAGGATATTAAAATATTAACTGTGCCCTTTATATAAGTACTAAACAGGTATCATGTCGGTGAGAAGGTCGATGCAAAAGATAGCCATGACCCCTACATAACAGAAAAAGTTGAAAATATTGAGAAAAGAAGATACAATAAGAATATTTAGAAAATGAACGAATGATGTCGCACTCCACGCCGTACGCCAGACTGATGGCCGGCATCATATGTCCGTGAACAGGCCATGCCAACTACAAATGAAAAAAATGAGATTTTGAGAGATGAAGAAACAATTGAAATATTCAAAAAATTAACGAATGATGTCGCTCTACGCAAGCTTGTACGCCAAGCTGATGGCAGGCATGATTCGCTGGAACTGCTTGTTGCTTCTTGTGAAAGCTCCAACGGCTTGGCATTCACTGTCTCTCCAGGTAGTCGTGAGTTCTGCTCGCTGTTCTCTGCCCTTTGTGAAGAACGTGGCAGTCTTGAAGGTTCGATTCGAGTAGATCCGGCTCGAAGGACCAATATATTCATATGTAGTGGTCTGTTTTTGTATGGTTATATGATGATATAATGGAATGAACATTGATATCAAATTTGCAATTCGTATTGCAATCCTTATTTTTTTATTGATTTTATCGAGGAATCTTATGTTTCAATAACACATCGTCATGTTATAACAACAAATGAAAATCTCTTATACTATATAGGGTGATAGAAGTACTGAACATGTATGTCGGTGCACAAGATGGCCCTGACGCCAAAAAAAAAAAAAGATTTCGAGAGATGAGGAAACAACAAGAATATTGAAAAAATTAACGATTGATCTCGCTCTCCGCGCGATCGTACGCCAAGCTGATGGCAAGCATTGTTCGCTTGAACTGCTTGTTGCTACCTGTGAAAGCTCCAGCTCCTTTGTGAAGAACTTTGATTCCAATAGATCCGGCTCGAACAACCAATATGTTCGATGCTAGATAGAGTGGACTGTATTTGTATGGTGAAATGACATATGATAATGATGTGGATCGATATTAGAATTGCTATTCGTGTTGTCAGTTCCCGCTTTTTCCATAATTTTATTTGTGGTTATGTTTCAATGTCAGTGCTTCTCGTATGGCGTTTTTCATTCACATTAACCGACACGGTTGTAGTTGATAATCCCCTTTCATTGTGTTTTCCCATGACGTCATTTCCGTTTGGTTTAACCTCCCCTATCTGCCCCAGCTTCACCGACTCATCGTTGGTTATGTTGATTGATGTCAAAAGTGTTGTCTGATAGATCGGAAATATTCATGATTTATGATTTGGTTTTCAAAACTCTAACCTCGAAACAAAAAAAAATATGAAAAATTTCATCCTAACATTGAAATTAGGAATCAATTTTTGGTAAAAAGAGAGACCAAAAGTATGAGAAAGAAATAGGATCGTTGGAAACGGTTGATGTTGACGTCATCATGACGTAGCTGTCTCCCACCATCTTACCCTAAATACTTCAACTGGGTTCAACAGGGTGAGTGAATGAAAAAAAAAAAAGTGTCGTGTCCGTACTATAAATATACAAAAACGTCAAAAGAGCAGTGTCAAGAACATTAAGGAACTCTATACCCACCTAGAGGCAGCGGAATGTTGAGTACGACGAACGCCAGCGGCGGAAATATCTCCGGCATGTTCGATGCCAGCGTGTACGCTATCGACTTCTTCAGATTGTCGAAAATCTTCCTGCCCTCCTCGACGCCCGTGATGATCGAGGCGAAATTGTCGTCGAGCAGGATCATGTCGGCCGACTGTTGGGACACCTCCGACCCGGAGATGCCCATCGCGATGCCGATGTCGGCCTTCTTGAGGGCCGGCGCGTCGTTCACGCCGTCCCCTGTCACCGCCACTGGAACAAAATAAACACGATAAAGTCTCGACAACATTCCAATGCATTTGGTACAGGTATTTGAATGTATTTTAATGTATTTTAATGTATTTTAATGTATTTTAATATATTTTAATGTATTTTAATGTATTTTAATGTATTTTAATGTATTTTAATGTATTTTAATGTATTTTAATGTATTTTAATGTATTTTAATGTATTTTAATGTATTTTAATGTATTTTGATGTATTTTGATGTATTTTGATGTATTTTGATGTATTTTAATGTATTTTGATGTATTTTGATGTATTTTGATGTATTTTAATTTATTTTAATGTATTTTAATGTATTTTAATGTATTTTAATGTATTTTGATGTATTTTGATGTATTTTAATGTATTTTAATGTAGTTTAATGTATTTTAATGCATTCAAATGCATTAAATTAATAACATTTGAATGCATTTCAATGTAATTAATGTAATTCAATGTATTTTGATGTGTTTCAATGCATTTCAATGTATATTGATGTATTTTAATGTATTTAGAATACATTTTAATAAATTTTAATGTATTTTAATGCAAGTTCAATGTGTTTTGATGTATTTTAGATGTATTTTGAATGGATATTGATGTATTTCAATGTATTTGAATGTATATTAATGTATGTTGATGTATGTATTTTGATGTATTTCAATGTATTTTGATGTATTTCAATGGATTTGAATGTATATTAATGTAAGTTGATGTAAGTTAATGTATTTTAATGAATTTCAATGTATTTAAATGTATTTTAATGAATTTTAATGCATTTGATTGCATTTTGATGTATTTTAAAGCATTTCAATATATCCAACGCATTTTAATATATTTCTATGTATTCTGATATATTTCAATATATTTTGATGACTTTCAATGTATTTTAAGGAATTTCAATGCATTTTAATATATTTTGATGTATTTTCATGATACTTCAAAGTATCTCAATGTATTTTAACATTATTGTTGAAAATGAAAAATACATTTTTTTAGCGATTGATGAAGTCCAAGTCGTTTTTATTTTTGAAATGAAGCAATTTCTAATTTTCGGGACGGCAAACTGTGATGACGTACATTCTGGAAAATGTAGCTACAGAATAGCTAACGAATAAAAAACGAATAAAAAAATAGAAGAAGAAGAAGAAGAAGACAATTTGGCGTCGTTGTTGATCATATCATGAAAAATAACGATGATCAGCTACTACAATCTACAATCTAACTACAAAATCAGCTCAGCTCTAGGTGTGCCTGTCAAATTTGTGTGGTGTGGACGGGCTCAAAGTATTATGCGCTGTTGCAAGATATAATCTGCAACTTTACAAGAAAACATATACGTTTTATAAAGGAACAATTCATTTGCAGAATAATGACTGACAACTTATCATTATCATTTTGTAATATAGGCAGAACCAAGTTCCTTCTTCATTTCCTCTTTCTGAAGTGACAAAAAAATACGTTTATATTTTTACAAACTTCACAGTAAGATGAAAACCTCGATATTGAAAACCGTGACCAAACTCACCGATCTCTCCCAGCCGCTGGCATCCCTCCACGATATGCAGCTTCTGCGTGGGCGACGTTCGCGCGAACACGATCTCCCTGAAGTTGAACAGAATGTTGTCCAGCTCCTGATTGGTCGCGTCCCGCAACGCCGAACCGTGTATCACGATGGCCTTGTCCTTGATGTTGGGCGGCAGGGTCTCGATCACGTTGATGTTGTACGCATCGATGACGTCCTTGCATCTGACTATGCCCACCTGCTTCGCTATGGCTTTCGCCGTGATCTAGAATGCACAGAGAAAAGAAAATCATTATCATCACCATGTATAGTTCTTCAATTTTATCAATATAGATTGAACTCTAGCAAAAGTCAGTCAAAAGCAGAGTTTGGTCCTTCGAGCCGGATCACGATGGCCTTGTCCTTGATGTTGCGTTCGCCATTTCATTTATTTTTGCGGTTAGGATTGTTTCTCACTTATCTGAACGTCAATACTCACTGGATGATCTCCGGTAACCATGACAACCCTTATTCCGGCACTCCTGCACCTTTCGAGAGCGTCTGGGACTTGCGGCCTAGGGGGGTCTATCAAAGACATGAAACCGACGAATCTGAGGTCTTTCCTGGGGAAATTCGGAGGCTCCGCGCAAAATTTGTAGTCCTTGGTGTACGATTCGTCCAACATCAGATCAGCGAAACCTAAGATGCATAAAACAAATATGGAAACGTAAGACATATTCATTATTTCTCTGGAAAGAGACTGTTGACTTACAATTCTGGTCTGAATTCCGAAGAAATGTATGAAACCTTTGATCATTTACACTAACAATATGAACCATCCTTACGAGAGCAATGAAGCTAGAAATTCTATTCAAAAGGGGGCGGAATCTATGAGCGACAAGGACCCCTATCTCACCCATGCATTATTCTTAACTGGAATACCTGCCTAACCCAATGTAGTTTGACGGATTCGGTGACGTTTTTGTGACATTTTTTACGTTTTGACAAATGCATGACGTTACTAATTAGCGGGGCTAATTGACAGGGATAATTGGCAAGGCTAATGGGCGAAATCGTCAAAAATGGCACAAAAACATCGAAAATATCACAGAATCTGTCACAGAATTGTCACGCATTTGTCAAAACGTCAATAACGTCACAGAGTCACCACAGAAACGTCACGCATTTGTCAAAATGTCAAAAATGTCACAAAACGTCACAAATTCAGTCGAACTATGTTGGGTTAGGAACGTATTTCAGTTAAGAATAATGCATGGATGAGATAGGGGTCGATTGAGTTGGGAGTAGGTGCACTACTCGCATCAGGCCGGATTAAAATATGTTTATTTAGAAGCCTTCAGAACATCAGAGTTAGTGATTTTCCTGCTTCAGAAAAAGCATATTCCTAGATAGCTCAGCTCAGTAACTTGTAGAATGTAGATAGATGGACTCAAGCAGATTTGGAGAGAATAGACAATAGCCAATAACTTAGGCCTAATCTGGCTTCAACATTTTACAAAGAGGTGGATCATCTTGTTATTATGGTTTTCGTACTAACCTAATACTCTTTCTCCTCGTTCGGCGAGCTCGGTCATGGCTTTGTCGCACTGCATTCTCATGTCATCTGTCATTTCCTTGGTACCTTCCACGGTGAGCATCTGCGAACACCTGTCCAAAATACGTTCTGGAGCGCCTTTCATCACCAAAAGGCACCCGCCTTGCTCCAAGGAGTGGATACTGATCTAGAGAAAGCAACATGGCCGAATATACAGTGTGTCCAGTTTTCCATGCTTTTGCACTATATCTCAGTTATCTTTGGAGACGAAATTCTGCTTGCGACATTATTCGATTCACAAAAAAGCAAGACAGTGATGTGAAAACCGCATCTCTCGCAAAGCATCGAAAACTGGAGATACTGAACAGGTCGATCTATTTTATAAGTATGACAACATCGTAAAATTAGGTTGAATCTAGTATGTTTCGAGAATAGAAAGAATACGTCATACAGATTGAATATAATATCATTTGAAAAATATACGAGACTGAATGAGAAAAAAATGTATGATGCATTGATCACATAAGCTAAAAACGTAATGATCGATTCATTACAGAAAGGGATGACATACTTTATTTCATAATTATTACACCATGAAAAAAAAATAGTAGTTACCATGAAGCTGTCATTAGTTCGTGGACAACAGTTCTGACATTTCAGTGGGATTTTTTTGAGCAGAACTGTACATGCATTTTATCACCTGGTATTTTGAGAAAATATAGCTTTTATAAAGCAGTTTGTAATTCTCAAACAAAAGCTGATGTTACAATGGGACATTTAAATATACATTTGTAGGTTTTATATGATATTTTGTGAATAAGTGGGTACCTACCAAGAAGAGGTTCATAGACAAAATCCATATTTCAGTGAAATTTTCAAACTTGTTATTCTTTTTTTGTATATAATTTTTTTCCTTCGCCAGATTTGAAATGCTTTCAGTTATTAGTCAATGGGATTTCTACAAGAGCCGTTCTCTATATTTTTGAGCAGATTTGTACAGTGTACATACATTCGTACTTTCCGCTCGATATTTTGTGAATGATTAGACAATGTGACGCAGTCATTCAATGGCGGAAGCCTCAATGTTTCAAAAAGATTTTCAAACAGTCGATTTTTTTTGGCAGAACTGTACACACATTATTTTTTTACCTGATATTTTGTGACGGAACTGAAGGGAATTTCGAGCAACTTGGGATTTTTATGACGAAATTCGCTGGGATCTCCGTGGATGTGAGTGAATTCGACGAACTTGAGTATGGCTTCTTCCGAAGCATCCCCTCTCACTTGCCTGTTCTGGATCGGCTTGTCTTTCTCACCCTGTACGAATTCCGCCCTGTTGCAGAGGGTGCCGCATCTCATAAGGGAGCGGAAACCTGAACATCAATTATAGAAACCCTTTATAATAAACAAAATTCAGTTTGCCCACACGTTTTTGTTAACAATTAGTTTTCAAATCTCCCTACTGAAATTGTAAATTGTGAGATTTTTTCATAAAAAAAGGACTCTTGATGAAATGCACTGTTTTGCCAATGAAGTCGATTTCAACATGACATTACATTAGTACATTAATCATTCATCAATTTGGAAAAAAAAGTTGATACACTTCTGATTCTAGTAACTGAATCAGCATCAGGATGAACGAGATGAAATAATCGCAGAAAAATGATTTGAGGCATGAAAATGAAAATACCAAATCAATTTCATTTTCGTCTATGATATTCTCACAATTTTCAATTTGTGAGGCTGGAAATTATTTTGACTCAAGATAATTCGAGCTTTTTCTTATTTTTAGGTGTGGAATCACTGCCAAAGTATTGTACACTGATTATAGAACACCTTGGATTTTGAATTCAGGATAATATAAAATTTAAAATTGAAATAATGATGAATTTTCATTGAATTATTGTTCGAATGATGGATTTTATGTTTTTGCAATCTAGATTGTCCATTGAAAAGATTCAAACAATTTTTTTATTTTTGAACTATATTAGATTAAAATAACAGATGGAAGAAGATGACATAATCGATTAATCTAGTGTGAAAATAGATACGAGAAGTTTTGCTGTTCGTCCGAACAAGATTGAACTGGAAACGAATGGAAAATCAGAAGAAGAATACATAACATTCTGGATGAGAAACAACAAACAATCAAATAATTCCCATCACCTATTCAATCACAAATACAACGAAAACAGACATTAACAAATAAATAAACAAACATAACAATGAAAACATAACCTCAATGAGAACGCAGCTATCAGTAAAGTTTGGTGTGAACTGGGAAAATTTGGACAAAGTGCCAGATTTAATTTCTTTATGTCTTGAAAACGGTTTCATAAGCCTTTTAGCTAGACATTTATTTTTATTCCATTGATTTCAGAAATAAAATTGAGTATTCAAGCTATATTATGCTGGATATTATTGAAATAATTTCGTGAATGATTTGGTCCATACTTTTTAGCTAATCAGGAAATCCTGATTTAAAAAATAGCATAAGGACCTAGCCGATATCACGACAAAATCTCATTGCAGTAATTTCTGAATACCCACACATCACCACCAACACAAGTGATTTTTTTTCTCATATGTAATACCACAAGTGATAATATTTTCTGAAATATTCGGCGATTGTTACGACAGCTTGTTGCCTAGTACTTTCGTGAATGACATTGTTATCAAAACTTCGAGCTGTAGGCTAGTAGTTTTGGATCAATGTCATGAGCGAAATTAGAGCAGCAAGCTGGAGTATGTCAATCGACGAATATTTCCAGGAAAAAAAGTATACGAGTTGTATTCGTATGACTTTTTCATGATTGAATGAATATATAAGAAATAGGAAAAATAATTCAAGTATATTCCAACTCAAACTGCGAAGAAGAACATAATGATAGTAATGAAACAGAATTCTATTTTTTAGAAATCAACTACCTACTTATAGGCTCGAACCAATGACCTTCGTATCTTCGCGCAACAACCCTGTCAGTTGTGCTACATCATCTGGTAATTATATTAGTCACAATAACTTGAGTGATTGAAGAAGATTACCTTAAAAAGGAATTTGAAGTCTAGTATTGTTGTGTCAGACCGTCAACAAATATGAAAACTTTTTAAATTACACATGAAACGTCCAGCCAGAATAAAATTGTCTCGCCTTTCGTACAAAATGTCTCACTAACGCGAATTATGAGTAAATAAAATAAAGTAGGTAGGTACTTATAGGTTATTGTCTCAGATTTGAATCCAAAGCAATCTTGACCAGACACGATGTCAAAATTTTATCGCTGATAAACGAGGTTTGTTGGTCACGTGTGGGTCAATTCGGCTTCTGTATTGGTAGAGCAAGTCCGATAAAATTTAATAAACAAAAAATATCGCTAGAATACAGAAGAAACCGTGAAAATGGTCGATTCTGATTGGTTCTCGAGTTCAAGAGTGGAATAGTCAAGGAAAAACAACTGACCCTATTAAAAAAATAAGAAATACGTACCTAATGGTTTTTGATAAACCTTACGGAACAATCTGGATACAGAAAACTTCCTCATTGCAGTAGGCCAAGAGATTTTTGTTCACCTCAATTTCAATTTCAGTACACATATTTCAAAATCGTGAATTCTATTTTCAACAAAGTATCAAAATAAGAATGTATGCTCAAAAAGAAGATTTAATGTTTTTTTTAGAGGGATGGTCGATTTTGTCAGAGTAAGAACAAAGTAGTTATTTATTATACAAGGGAAAAAAGTGGTAGATTTTAGCTCCAGAGGTTGTGTGAAATTTTTTACCTTCCGTCTTATTGTAATCCTTGGCGCTCTCCTGCTGAACAGTGGAATCGGCGTCCATAATTTTGCTGTCGCACCAAAAGTGACACACCGTCATCTTGTTCTGCGTCAGAGTGCCCGTCTTGTCCGAGCAGATGATCGAGGTGGAGCCCAACGTTTCGACGGCCTCGAGGTTCTTCACCAGGCAGTTCTTCGCCGCCATGCGTTTGGCCGTCACCGAAAGACAAACGGTTACAGTGGCAAGAAGACCTGAACAAAAAAGGGTGTAAGACAGAGAGGGAGGGTACGTCTCGATATATGTACAGGGTGCGCCTCTTAAAATGGAACCCTCCTCCGTAATTCTTTCGTTTTCAGAGATATGGAAAATGTTAAATAAAAAAGTTGTGTGAAACGACCCAAACTTTTATTTCGTGAAGTTGTTTTATATACAGGGTCATTCGTTTTTCCAGAAAGGATATCAACTTTGATTTTTTCAATGGAACACCCTATATAATTCACGACATGTCGATAGAGCCTTTCTTTCTGATTTCAAAAATATACATGAGTTGCATATTTGGATGAAACATAGTTGGGTTATTGATGATCAAAATTTACCAGTATTGAAATTAATTATTTTTCATTCAAATATGCATCTCATATATATTTTTGAAATGAGAAAAGAAGGCTCTATCGACGTGTCAGAAAATATATAGGGTGTTCCGTTGAAACAATCAAAGTTAATATCCTTTCCGGAAAAACGAATGACCCTGTATATGAAGCAACTTCACGAAATAAAAGTTTGGGTCATTTCAAACAACTTTTTAGTTCAACATTTTCTCACATCTTTGAAAACAAAAAAGTTAAGGGGGGTCCCATTTTGAGAGGCGCCCCCTGTACAGTGTGATTCGTAATATCAGCTTCATATGGGAAAAACTTTTGATAATAATTTATTTGTAGATTCGACTTGAGCGTTGAGATTTGCTTTAAAAAAATTGAAAAATGAGCTACTCGGTCGGGGTCACGTGATTTTCACTATATATGTCAAAAGTAAAATTTCTTCAAATTAATCGCTGACAATAAGCTTATTTGTTAGAATTTCAAAAAAATTTACTAAGAAATGTTGTCAGTTATCAAAATATCATCGAACTATATGGGTTGCGTGCAAAAACTGTCAGATGACCGACCCTGGAGGAACAACATTGCAACACAACCTCACTTTTCTTATTTGTTTACAAGTGATTGAAATAGTTTTTCACAATTATTTCGGCATAGAAATCGTATTTTTCGGCTATTCATTAATTCGCTCATGCCATCACATTGTGCTGTTGTACAACTGCAGCAGAAGACGAAGGAATCCTGCTGGTACATTATGTTTTAAAAGTAAGTACCTACTATAGTCACTCACATATAGTTTTCATTTTTTGAATTTGGTGATCTCTCATCGGAATTCCTTCTACAATAGGAGCTAATAGAAATTTCTAAAATAATGCAAGAAGATTGAATTCATGCAATCAAACGGGAGCACTGGTCTGACATGCTGACCAAATATGATCGTGTGTGTTGTAGACATTTTCAATCTATTAGCAGTAGTAGCTTGTATTGCAGAAGTGGCAGAAGGAATTTTAATAAGGAATGACAACGTTTCATAATGATAACTATGTGAGATTACTATTTACCTGAAAAATCATATTATTCCTTTGTCTCTCGTTGCATTTTTTGTGCATTGTACAACAGCACAATGAGAAGGCATTTTTGAATCAATGAATAGCGCAAAAAACACGATTCGTTTGCCATACTATTTGAAAAACTATTTCGATCCTTCGATTCCTCTGTAACCAAATAAAAAAGTGAGGTTGTGTTTCAATGTTTCACAGAAAAGTGAGGTTGTGTTCCAATATTTCACCTCCAGGGTCGGTCATCGTGCACGCGACCTATACTTTACGTATCTAACCAAAGTTCAGGACAGTTTCATTTTCAGTCAATGTCAAAGTCATAAATCCCAAAATATTGCCTGATAATCCTGAAGGCTGTGGCCTGTTTTAATCGAAGATATTCGGAAAGAAATATGTAGAATTGTTTAGCAAATAGATAACTTCAAGTTATGGAAAGACTTGAGCAGACTTTTTTACTCTCAATGTGGAACTTTACGACCAACTCTTACCATGTCATGGAACCGATCCATTTTCAAAGTGGTCCAGTATTTTTCAAAAGAGAAAAAAAAAACAAACTCAAAGTCGGTCGACCACAAAATTTAATATAAAACACTCATGTGTGTGACTAGTTCCTCAGTACCTTGGATATTAACTATATTCGATTCCGTTTCTTGGGACAGGTGGCACTTCATAGGCGCAAATTCATTACTGAATGAGAGATACCCTTCAGATTTTGAGCTTCCAATGACATTCCGTAAACGGCAACCATTAGGACGTATATTGTCGTCACTCTATTCAATGTACTCACTCTTGGAAAAACTTATTTTTCATCTCTCGACTTCTCTACTGATTTCTCACCTTCTGGTACGTTGGCGACGATGATACCGATGAGAAACAGGGAGGCCTCTATCCAGGAGTAGTTTTTGGCCAGGGCGGCCGATCCGAACACGAAGCCCAAAAAACAGGCCCACACGCTGATGATTTTCATGAAGTGTTCCAGCTCCTTGGCGATGGGCGTCTTGTTGGGCTGCAATCTGGCTGTCAGACCGGCGATTCTGCCCATGACAGTTCTGTCGCCGGTTTCACAAACGATTCCTTAAATGAAACCAATCTTCAAAAATCGAAAGTCGAAATTGGGTATCGTTTTTTTTAAGAATAAAAATATAAAGTACTAGCAGACCTCGCAAACGTTGTTTTGCTATACAGGGTGTTTCAAAAATACCTGACCCCCTTGCTAGGGTAGGTAGAACACTGCGAAATAAGTTGGGTTTGCTCAGTGAAAAAATGTCGTAACGGCATCCGTTTTCATGATACAATGTTCCGTTTTCGGAATATTTCGATTTGAAAATAATGGAGTAGTAATGATGCTGGTATAAAATGAATTTTATTGAGTTTAGTTACCTATTTATTCAAGTTCAAAAACAATAAAATTATTCTTGTGCAGAAGTTATTGATGAAACGAAGAATCATAAGTAGAAAATTTAGAGATATTTGACTAGAAACATGAAACATTGATGATCAGTTAGAGTAAGTGTTCAAAATGTCCTACGTTTCGAGGAATACACGATTCTATATTCTTTTCTTAAGAATGTATTATTCTCCTAAACAGTTGAAGGTCAGTTGTTAGGTCATTTAAGTGATGTTCAATTATGTCTCACAACTCTTGACGTGAATTTACCTATGAAGCATAGACTTTCTGCTCAAGATACAACAAAACTGTGTAATCCATGTTCTTAGTCAAATCTGCTCTGATGTTATTCTTGTGATTCATTGTTAAATCAATAAGTTTAGCATCAGAAATGTATTGTTGTTTTCGGTTTTCAATAAATAGGTCATAATTTTTCATAATACTCTGAAACGGAACACAGTATCGAGTTTTACCAAGAGAAATTGAATGATGTTCAAGTTTACATCAAATTTGGATCGAAAATTCTAACCTCAAAAAAGTTATGTTCAAAACTACTCGGTACGAACCGTGTAACTAGCGCCCTCTATGAGAGTCAGATGTGAAAAATAATCATTTCAACACCTTGTATCTTGATAACGGATGCCGTTACGAAATTTTTCTACTGAGTAAACCCAACTTATTTTGCAGTGTTCTGCCTACCCTAGTAAGGGGGTCAGGTTTTTTTGAGACACCCTGTATACATTATTTCTATAATATATTTTTTCAGGTCAATATTCATCAAGACACTATAATTATTTAATTTTCTACTTCTTTTTAGTTTCACTGCTATCTATGAAAGCGTGTTTCTTTGGTTTTTCAAACTACCATTTATTTCAACTTCTTTTTAGTTCACTTGAATTCCCCAATTTTGACGAAAGAATCATAATATTTGACTCCTAAAACCCCAGATGAAAATTTTGAATTGAATCGGAACATAATTACAAAACTCGTACGCAATATTGGATCTACCATCTTGAATTCCCTAATTTTGACCATAATGTTCCAGAGAAGTGAGTGAGTTTGTGAGCGAGGCATCACCCACGAGACGAATTGCCCTTTTTTGGACAGAATCCAACAGTTTCAGGGTATGTTTGGATGCTGCACTCCAAATATGGGAACAGTATTCCAGGACAGGTCGGATCTGTGCCTTATAGATCATAAGCAGCTGATTGGAAGTGAAATAGCTCCTGGCACGAAACAGAAAACCAAGTTTTTAGGATGCACTTTCAGCAATTGATCTCACGTGATTTTCCCAAGAAAGGTTATTGCTGATAGCAATACCAAAGATCGAAATGGATGTCTTCAAAGGTATGGTTACTCCTGACAAGCTTATGTTGGGTACAGTGAGATCAGCTTTTCTGGAGAAAAGGCATGCTTGTGTTTTTTTTGCATTGAAATCTACCAAGTTATTGGATACCCATTGATTACCTCTAGCTGTGCCTTCAACGGCATTGGTGGAGAAGAAGACGAAATTCTTGGTTTCCAAAATGTTGTCGCTACTGCAATCGGGTGCACGGTATTGGGGCTCCGATTCTCCAGTCAAAGCTGAATTATCCACCTGAAAAAAGAATTCGCATTGTTAGCACCTTGTAAAATTAAACTCGATGGTATTGATTATTTACGTGTTTATTCATCGACAGTTCTCTTTATACTAATTCACAAACGATATCTTTATCATGAGTAATTCACAAAAAACGTATAACTTATATAATAAAACCCGTCACCACAAATTCTTAAGCTATACGTAGATATATTTTACAGGGTTGATATCAGCATTGAATTGAGACATTTGATGTGCACAGTTTCTTGGTTGAAGGCCATTCAAGCGAAAAAAAAAAACTTTCTGCGACACTTCAAAGGACGCTGAGCAAAAATCACACCTGTAGCACCCGAAATGGTGAATATTCCAGGGCCGTAATAAAACCAATTCAATCTTCACCTCCATATTTTGCATAAGTATTCATTTTACAGGGTGAATATCAGCATTGAGTTGAGACATTTTGATGTGCACAGTTTCTTGGTTGAAGGCCATTCAAGTAAAAAAAAACTTTCTGCGACACTTCAAAGGACGCTGAGCATAAATCACACCTGTAGCACCCGAAATTGTGAATATTCCAGGGCCGTAATAACACCAATTCAATCTTCACTTCCATATTTTGCATATTCATTTTACAGGGTGAATATCAGCATTGAGTTGAGACATTTTGATGTGCACAGTTTCTTGGTTGAAGGCCATTCAAGTAAAAAAAAACTTTCTGCGACACTTCAAAGGACGCTGAGCAAAAATCACACCTGTAGCACCCGAAATGGTGAATATTCCAGGGCCGTAATGAAACCAATTCAATCTTCACTTCCATATTTTGCATATTCATTTTACAGGGTTGATATCAGCATTGAGTTGAGACATTTGATGTGCACAGTTTCTTGGTTGAAGACCATTCAAGTAAAAAAAAACTTTCTGCGACACTTCAAAGGACGCTGAGCAAAAATCACACCTGTAGCACCCGAAATGATTAATATTCCAGGACCGTAATAGAACCAATTCAATCTTCACTTCCATATTTTGCATATTCATTTTACAGGGTTGATATCAGCATTGAGATGAGACATTTAATGTGCACAGTTTCTTGGTTGAAGACCATTCAAGTAAAAAAAAACTTTCTGCGACACTTCAAAGGACGCTGAGCAAAAATCACACCTGTAGCACCCGAAATGATTAATATTCCAGGACCGTAATAGAACCAATTCAATCTTCACTTCCATATTTTGCATATTCATTTTACAGGGTTGATATCAGCATTGAGATGAGACATTTAATGTGCACAGTTTCTTGGTTGAAGACCATTCAAGTAAAAAAAAACTTTCTGCGACACTTCAAAGGACGCTGAGCAAAAATCACACCTGTAGCACCCGAAATGGTGAATATTCCAGGACCGTAATAGAACCAATTCAATGTTCACTTCCATATTTTGCATGTTCATTTTACAGGGTTGATATCAGCATTGAGTTGTGACATTTGATGTGCAAAGTTTCTTGGTTGAAGGCCATTCAAGTGAAAAAAAAACTTTCTGCGACACTTCAAAGGACGCTGAGCAAAAATCACACCTGTAGCACCCGAAATGATTAATATTCCAGGACCGTAATAGAACCAATTCAATCTTCACTTCCATATTTTGCATCTTTTATACGGGCAATGTTCGGTGCTTTTGTCGAAACATTTCCACTTGAATATCACTCGTCTCAAAACAGAATCCGGAAATTTTAATTTTAAAAATATACCGCACCATGAGAAATTCATGATTTGATTGACAGGAATAAATAAATCAACAAACCTTGAAACCTTGACTCTGTATTATCCTGATATCTGCCGGTATCCGATCCCCGAATTTCATTTCCACCAAATCACCCACCACAATTTCCTTCGATATAATCGTCATGGTTTCTCCACCTCGTATCACAGTGGCTTTCGGAGGTACCATGTTCGCAAAAGATTCCATAATCTGTAAAAAAACAAGTTGCCAATTCACATTATTCAGTCAAAATAATATTCAGAATATGTTCTATAGAGTGGCCGGCTAGATCGCCTGATTTGGCATATACGGAACGATTCCTAGTAGTTCTTACCTTGCTGCTTTTGTGCTCTTGGAAATACATGAAAATTCCCGTGACTAAGACGACTACTACTAAAACACATCCTAATATAAGATTATCCGTATCTGCTTCGTGGATAGTGAATTTTCTGATGATCACAGCGGCGAAGCAAAGGCATGCTCCTATCCATAATAATATCGAAAAACCTAAAAAAGGAAAAATAATATTTATCTCTGCAGACTGCATTATAAAAAACAATGCAACAGCTATAGCTCCATTTTTAATAACAGAAAAAATATTTTGGATTTCAGTAATTTCGTTTCTATGTTACAGCTTGGGCTATTTGTATGAAGAAACTATTATCCAGTTGAGAATTAATCAACTAGGAATATTTCCACATATCAAGAGAGCAAACTATTTATTTCACTCACTGAGTCGTGAGGTCACTAGTTAAAAGTGGCAAATTTTGGCAGTTTGAATGAAAGGGTGATCTTAAATTCGGTCCCAGCAGGTAGCAGATTGAATTAAATGTTTTATACCCTTTTATCGGTGAGTAAATTCGGTCCCAACCATGTCAATTGCTAAGGATTTTACAATTCTTGCCTGCATAACCTACTTATAAACCTATATAATATATTAGGCCGAGTTAGGTCAGATTGTTTAGAAAAAGTAGTCTTCTTCTTATGCAGAAAGGATATTTTCCTTCCTCATATTATAACCTACTTATATACCTATATATCAGTCCGAGTTAGGTCAGATTGTTTGGATAAAGTAGTCTCCTTTCTTGTTATTATTTGCTGAGCCACTCACAAAACAAATTACCTGTGACCGAATTTACCTATGTAGTATCAGGTGAAACAAACAAAGTTTGGGACCGAATTTTCAGCATATTTTTGGCCTAATAATTCTTGGGACCGAATTTACATACAGTGTGTCCCACTTACCATGCTCACCATGGGTATCTTTTTAACGGTGAGAGATACGAGGTCGGTTAAATGACACCAAATGTGGAGTTTGTCAAGGCCAACTATAATGTGAAAAAATATTTTGATAAAATCTATTCGTTTTTGTTTTATACGCATAAAACAGATTTTGATCATTTTCATGTCTCCTCCGTAACTTCTTTATTAATGAAAATATTCAAATAGGAATTTCACATTCTCATGGCAGTTTTTCAAAGTGATTTCGAAAAAAATATGAAATTTATACCAACTCTTCTAGAATTTGAGATATCAGCACCAACTTTAGTTTTTCAAAAGTAGGTCATACTATGACTTAGTTACAAATAACTTTTTTTCTCTTACAGATGATATGTCGCAGTAATAGTTTGGTGCTGATAACAACGGAGTTATCGTCATTTATACAAAAACAAAAAATTATTTGGAAACCGCCATCTTGAATTTATGAATTTTAACGAAAAAATCATGATCTCCGACCTCAAAAACCCCCACTCACGAATTTTGAATGGAATCGGACCAAATCTTGTCCGCCATCTTGGAGCAGCCATTTTTTTTAATTTCAACAAAAATTCCACAATGTATTGTCACCGAAATTATGAACGTTTTTGAGGTCGGAGATCAAGCTTTTTTTGTTAAAATTTATAAATTCAAGATGGCGGCTTCCATATAATTTTTTGTTTTTGTATAAATGACGATAACTCCGTTGTTATCAACACGAAACTATTACTGCGACACATCATCTGAAAGAGAAAAAAAAGTTATTTGTAACTAAGTCATAGTGAGCTATGACCTACATTTGAAAAACTAAAGTTGGTGCTGATATCTCGAATTCTAGAAGAGTTGGTATAAATTTCATATTTTTTTCGAAATCACTTTGAAAAACTGCCATGAGAATGTGAAATTCCTATTTGAATATTTTCATAAATAAAGATGTTACGGAGGAGACATGAAAATGACCAAAATCTGTTTTTTGCGCATAAAACGAAAACGAATAGATTTTATCAAAATATTTTTTCACGTTATAGTTGGCCTTGACAAACTCCACATTTGGTGTCATTTAACCGACCTCGTATCTCTCACCGTTAAAAAGATACCCATGGTGAGCATGGTAAGTGGGACACACTGTATATAAAAAAATGTATATTATTATTGATATAGTACGCTGATATTTATGTAATTTTGGAAATGAATAAAAAATAAATGAATAAATTAAAAAAAAAATGCGAATTCACCATTTTGAAAGGATTTTCTGTGGTTCATGAATAGGTACGCACCTTGTGTAATTGTCTTTAAAAATTTAACATATTCCGGAACTTTGTGTGAAGGGGTTAATGTATTCGTTCCAGTTTTTTCAAGGACAGCTGCAGCTTGAGCTGGCGTTAAGCCAGTTTCTCTGTCAGTCTGGAATTTCCTACACAGGTCACCTGAAAAAAGGAAAATAATTAAATCTTCGTTGAGATATTTTTGCGTGGGTAATTGCATGAGTGCATTAGGATTACGAAATTTACTTTGGAGTGTGTTATATTATAGCTGCATCAGATGATCTCAATGTTTTTGAGATTATTTCGTTGAATACGAGAATATTAGCATTACTTTTTTAGTTCCAAATTGATTGTGCTGCTCCTGAGGCGATGGCGTATGGAGTCAGTAAGAAAGCCTACACAGAACATACATGGGCTGAAGAATGTCTCGCTAAGTCGATGCCCACTAACAAAATGTACATTATACAGGGTGACATAGATAAAAGTACATTGAATAGTGCCACACGATAAAGGACACTAAAATAAGAAAGAAATGGAACCCTGTATGTAGCGCCCTCTATCAGTAATCAAAAAACCAAGATCATATTTGAATTAAGCATGATGAAAAACCCCTGTATACCACATTTTATCCATTTCATGCGTCTCTGGTTAAAGATATTCAAAAAACTTTTTTCTTATTCAGTCACCCTGTATATTTAGCAGTTTTAGAATAATATGTTGTAAAACGAATTCTTTCGAGTGCCCCTTGTACGTTGTAAATTTTATGAGACATGGACCGTAGTAATCTGAATTTTATTGTTCTTTATCAATATTCATAAAAATCGAATCAAATTGTATCGAAATACTAGTTTCTCAAGATAATAATAGTAATAATATCAAAGCATCTTCATTCACTATGGTAGGAAGAAAGTACAAATGTGCGCCCATTACAATAAAACAGAAATAACATGAAATGAATTTAAAAAAATATCAGTCTTCATCAGCCATACTCGAGTCATATTCGGGCAGATTATTTACTGAATCATAAAGCCGACAGCTGATTTTCTATAAAATTCATACAGATATCTCCGCCACTGTTTAATCACGTTGAGATTAATAATTATTGGTTACATATATCTTCCCCTTGGTTATATAAAAATGGATGCATAACTGAGTTGGACTATAGCCAAGACAACTCATGTTTTATATAAATACAGACGTACTTCACTTGGTTTATTTTTGAGGAAATTTTAATACTGAACGAATTTCGAGTGGACAGCGATTGGGAGCGGAATGCTTTTTCAGAAGGGGGTCGACAAAGTATAGTTGATAAGGTTATAATCTGTCACGTGATCACATGATTCACCATACATGTCACTCCCTCCAGCTGGGAACGTCTCGTTTGACCCAATTTTCGATTCGCCCAATCTGCGATTCGCCCAATTTTCGATTCACCCAAATTTCGATTTACCCAATTTTCGATTTACCCACCGTCTCCTAACACACCCGAAAGATGCGTTTTTGTTATACATGGTGGGCCACCAGTAACGCCTCGGTCTCTAGAAGGCTAACCACTTATCTTCTTGGAATTCTTCCTCTCTAGGAAGTTGCATGTCAACATAGGCTAGCTAACCACTTATCTTCTTGGAATTCTTCCTCTCTAGGAAGTTGCATGTCAACATAGGCTACCATTTGAAATTATTTCGAAACATACAGGGTGTCCCCAAAAACCATAAAACACTGAAGTTGAACTTTTTTCTATCGAACACCCTATATATTATTTCATTTTGAGATTCTCCCTGGTGAGCTGATTTCAACAATCCGTCATACTTGGGGTCTAGCAGTTATAATTACTGAAATATAGGGTGTGAAAAATCGAGATTTTCCAAGTTCAACTTTTGATTAACTATCTACTGATATTTAATTGGGACATATACCGGGTGATCAAGATTCTGAATTCTGCACCACCTACATGTCTCTATCTGAACTTTTGATTTACTTATCTACTGACATTTAATTAAAACAATACAGGGTGGTTCAAGTAGATAGTAAATCAAAAGTTGAGATAGGGACATGAAAGCCGTTTTGACCAATAATGTTTCGATACAAAAAAATCCTAAAGTTGGAAAATCTCGATTTTATTCGTAATCGTAATCGTTCCCGCTAGACCCCAAGTGTGAAATATATTCATGATATCAGCTCTTCAGGGAGAATCTAAAAATGCAATGAAATACAGGGTGTTCCATTTGAAAAAATCAACTAATTTTCTGATGGAGCGAAAAAAAAATCATTTCGAATGATTCCTCAAATTTTGGAATCGGTTCGAAAATAACTGAGCTAGAGGGAAGGGGGGGCATTTATGGTGAATCACCCTGTACGTACACTTGAAATTATTGCTATCGAATCATAATTCTGTAAAATTATCCAGTTTTAAGTTAGGAATTCGACTTTGAACTTGGGAATACCTGAAAAATTAGTTTTTTCACGTTCGCAACTTTTGTAGTGTCGATCAACAAAATCAAATATTGACCAGGCACACTTTTTCAATAATGAACATAGATGAACTTTGATCAACAATGAAGGTGTGAAGGTTATAGTCAAAAACCCATTGACATATGATTCTTCGAAAATATCCTAATGATAGATGATGAAAATTCAGAAAAAAAATGCATTGGGCATGATTATCCAATTCAAATTATCTTTTTCGACTCAGAATTTCGTCAACTCATGGTTTTGAGATGAGAACTTTGAAGTTATTTGAGAGAAGCTAAAAATTTAGTGAGATTTTTCTTTGCTTCTCAAGCGTTCGCAATTTTTGTTGTATCGATAAACAAAATTAAATATTGACTGAAACACCATCCCATTAACGAAGATAGACGAACTTTAATTAACAAAAAATGTGTGAAGGCAATAGTCATAAAACCGTTGACCTGATTCTCCTAAAATATCCTAATGGCAGATATCCACCTTCGCGTTATTAGACCTTCCTTAGGAAAAGGTTGCCTATAATAGCCCTGTAACAACGCCTATACCGGGTGGACACGAAAAATGGGCCGCAGCTGTAAATTTTGAATCACTTGAGATAGAATTATGAAATTAGGATTCAAATAACATCTTATTTCGCATTCACTGGTACAATTACACATTTTGAATTACTTCCGGTTTCAGCAGAAATGACTTCAACTTTCGATTTTCAAATAGGACACTCTGTATATTTTCACAGTTTTGGAATTGGGAGTTCTTTTAATATACAGTTGTATGATTTTTACAGGAAGACATCATAGCCAACTAGACTCATCATAATCTATCTCTTCTAGAATTGTTTGTGTTTCGATTATCAATCAGATGTAGACAAATGTGTTATTCAATTAATTAGTTGAAGAATATTCTTCGACAAAAATTACTTGGCCCACCATCATTCCATTTGAAAAAGCAGAGGTATTCTAGAAATAGTAATTTACGTAACAAGTCTGGAAAATACTGTTTATTTGGACGAGTAGACAAAATTCTATGCCGAGCCGTAGGCGAGTCCTGGAAGTCTGCGATTCCTAAAAAACGGTTTTTGGACGTGTTGCGTACACTATTTTTTTGGCAACCATGTAGAATAACAAATCAATGAGACACATTTCCATATTATATTTCTTTGTAGAATACAATTTCTTCTTTAATAATTTTCATTTGTATCAAATACTGAAATTTGAAAAGAATACATATACCTACTAACTGTTACATTGGAAACTCACTATCGCAGCTGCTTTCGATAGTTTATTGCGATAATAGGCCTTTTCATTTAGATGACAAATGACTATCTCTGTTTACATCTCGCATCCAATGACAGTGGCGGCCATTTTCCGCGAAACACTTACACCACAGTACCACACTCCTCAGTAACAAATAAATAACGTTTTTTGGAATTAAATTATTATAATACAATCAATACACACCAGGAATATATAAACAGAAATACTATGTTGTTATGGTTGTTTCTCAATTACGAATGCCCATGGTGGTTGACACTGTTGACATTTGACAGAACGTCAATAATACATGCCAATGAGACTTTACCTTCGCATTACCCAATAAATTCTTGGAACTAAAAACGAGCGCATGCGTCTTAAAAATATATCTAGATGAAAAGGCCTATTGCAACCAAACTTTCAAACATCAAAATGTAGATTATTTTCATGTGAAATAGCTGTCAGCCGATATTTCGCTGCTATGCTAATTATCATCAGTATTTATCAAAATCATATCTACCAAGATTATCATAGAAAAATGCTACTTTCTCAAAAGAAAAAGCGTCCGAGAAGTGAGCACTTCCCAGACGGTTGCCGAAAAAATCATTTGTGATCACTCGGAGAGATTATAAAGATAGTTGTCGAATAGTATGATTTGAATTTTTCCCTTGACAAGGAACTGAAACAAAAACAATTTATGACAGTAACACCCACCTAGATACGATTTCAAAAATCAAATAAAAAATTGACGCTAAGAAAATTTTCACCCGAAAATTATACAACTGTATGTAAAATGATCTCCTGAATCCAAAAATTTGAAAATCGAAAGTTGAGGTCATTTCCGGAGACACAAATTTGATGTTATATGAACCCTCCAAATTTGAATATTTCACCTCAAACGATTCAAAAGATACAGGGGCAGTGAATACAATATTCGAAAATAAACTTTGCTGAAATACTGGAAATTCAATTTTTTTTGTTGAATTTCATGTATGGTCACTATAAATTAGCTAAAAAATCATCATCTGGTTTCCATAGTTCTCTTGGCTAACAGTACAATGTGTGTTTACTAAATTCCCAAATAAAAATTTCAAATTCCGTTTATATTTTCGATTTCAACAGATCTCACAAAAATAAATGAAAAACCATCTCCAGAGAAGCCTCTTCATGAGCCCACTTTTCCACACATAATCTTTCTAATTTATTTTGTTATTCTTGGTTGTCGATTCTATAACCAGAGTATTCCACGGTGACTACGGAACACCCTGTACAAACGTAAATGGAATTATATCGATCAGCTATTGCTGAAATGTCAATTAATTTACTCTCCCTTTCCCCTATATTCCTATCAATCATCGAATAATTCTGTTTACAAGAATGGCGAGTTATGAAGTTATTCTTAGAAATCGTGTTTCATTCCTACAAAATCTATAACTACCTCGAAGC